ATAACTCTATTAGGTAAACTAGACGTGTGTTGTTTGTTTGGTCGATTATCATAGTGTGCTATACTACAATCTACCTTCCTTACTGTCCTTCTACTTCTTCTGTTGTCTTTCCCCAGTCAAATCTGAAATTAACTGTATATGTTTGGGTGCTGTTAAGATGAGTGTATGAAGTAAGTCATGGCTAATCCAGAGGAACTGGAATCTGCAGCAGATGTAGAGGTTGGGGCTGATATAAATGGAGGATCTATTCCCTGTAGAGACACAACACAAGCAGATGGTCAGGTAAGACCACAGAGCAACTCATTTATGCTTGCATGTACAAGTGAGGCTCTAATTATCCTATCGGCCATATGGACTGAAAAAAAATGGTGTGGGATTTACTTTTCACTCAGCTAGTGAATTGCTAGTAAATTTCACAAAGAAACAGTAATAAACACATTAAACATGACATTTTGAAGTAAAAAGACTGGAATAGTGTTTTCTTGTAAAATGTACTTATCTTTTTTACAACTTTGAAAAATCATTTTTACAGTGTAGTATTATTCTGAGATCTAGGTGAATTGTTTTTGATTTGTTGAATTATGATGAATTTATTTCAAAATACTGTAAATATTGACATCAATGACAAAATATATGCACTCTAAAAATGCTGGGTTGTTTCAACCCAATTTTGGGTCAAATATGGACTAACCCAACTGTTGGGTTAAAAAGTTAATTAAAAAACGTAACCAAAATTTAACCCAACAGTTGGGTTAGTCCATATTTGACCCAAAATCGGCATTTTTTAGAGTGTGGAGAGCATTTTCTTCTCCCTTTTAAAAGTTAGAATTTTAGCATTAGCAGTTAAATTTTTTTCTTTGATGTTCCATCAGATCCAACTATATATATATATATATATACTCAATATTTAGTTAATTGAAATAAAGCTGCAATAAATATAAATATTACATTAAAAAATAAACTTAAAAACACATTTGAAATGTTGTCTTGGCTTGAAGAGCTAATATTAATACAACTAGAATTGAAAAAACAAAAACAACAAAAAAACTGAAATATTATTATTTTTTTAAACAAAGAAAAAAAAGACAAAAACACAAAATGACCAAACCAAAAGCATAAAAATAAAAGCTACTTAAAAATATGAATAAATATAATAGTATTTTAATGATAAAACAACAGTTGTTTTCTGTACACTGTTAAAAAAAACAGGACATTATCCGTTAATTTTACTGACATTTACGTTAACGATAAAAATACAACATGATGCAGTGCAAAGTTCAAAATAAAACACCTGTACAAAGTTAATTCCTTAATGTTAATACAGTACATTGTGCCCTATTTTTACAGTTGTTGTTTTGTTTTGTTTTAAGAATAAAATGAAATACCATCTAAGAAAAATCTGTATAAATGATACTTAAGGAAGAATGCTGGTTCACTATTGAGTCTTCATGTTTCCACACAGGGTACAACCGATCAGATATATCCTGAGAAAATAGAGGTGGTCTCTGTAACTGAGGATGACATTCCTTCTGTGGATACCCCGACCCTGCTCAATGCCAGTCCGCTGGACAGTTCAAGTACCAGCCCTGCACCAGATGACAGCACCGTCAAACCAACCAATGACCCTCTCACAGAAACCCCTTCAGCCCAGCCCAGCCTTTCAATGCCAGTTACCAAAGTTCAGCCCTTTGTTACAGGTAACAATATACATCATCAAAATTTGTATTTCATGTTGTACATAGTTTTCTCATGATATGGACTAATTTATAAAAAAATAAAAAACATTAGCACAGTTTATGGCTGTGTGGTTTGTAATTACATTCATAATTTCTGAATTCTACATGATCCTTCAATAATGCTGTCAAAAGCATTGGTCCAAACTCACCCAAAAACATTTTAGTCATGTGATACATCAACACTAATTAAGTTTGTTGCTGTCAAGTATTTGCACTACATAATAAAATACACAAAGAGATTCTGTATGTTTCTGTAGCTCAGCTAGTAACACATGATGCAAACATCAACAGGTACATATCAATAAAATGTATCAAGTGTCTGCTAAATGTATACAAATTAATCTCTCTCATCTCATGCATCGTATGACTTCATGAAACTGATATCAAGAGGATAAAACACTTAGGGGGAGACTGTTTGCACGCAGGATGGAGATACTTATCGGGGCCTGTGTCCTGCTCACCCTCACTATTGTGCTTGGAATTGGATTGGGCGGTGAGTAAATGTCTTTAGGGAGTATTCAATACACCCAGAGATGTACAGTAACACTTCATCGGGTTTTGGAAATCAGTATTTTACTTGATTAAATATATATGAGCTCTTCATGAGCAATGTTCCTTGGGTACCTGGTTTCGTGTTATAGGGAACCATATACTTTAGTTTAGATTAGTACTGGGTGGTTAAGTGTTAGGGACCCCAGGGGACCTCGTGAAGATTGGAAGTATGGCAAGGTGGGTGGGAAGCTGGAGGAGCCCTAGATCGTAACAAAAACGTCTTATTACTGTGTTTCCAAAACGTCAGTGTAAAACAATATTAAATATGTGTTCTGAGTTTGTCACATGACAGAAAAATGCATTATTAACCACCCAGTCAAATTTGAATGATTAAAAAATAAATGAGTAAATGAAAAAGCCAAGTAAATGAAATAAGGTGTCAAAATCTTTAAAAATATATATAAGCGGTGTTCTCTGCTCTCAAACGCTGTCGGCGCTGAAACCACACCCACTTGCGGGAAAGCTGCCGCCTCTCAACTGTCAAATACCACTACAACATGAATGGATGACCGAGCTGTTTTGTAAATTATCGCAACCACGTAATATGCATTTACATGACGAAGGCATAGCTAGCAAATTGTACTCTGTAGCTAATAACTGACGGCAATGACAGTTACTCACGATGGAGCGAGCGAACCACTGATGCTAATGCGCTCTAGTTATTTTTTGTGTTAGGGGAGGGGCCATGTTCAGTGGATCCAGTGCGTCATCAAGACATGATTTCAGGCCCGCCCAAAAAATCCAAAAGGCAAAAAATGGTGAGAAACCGATTAAAGGTGCAGTCAGTGTGTAAATTTTAGCAGCATCTAGTGGTAAGGTAGTGAATTGCACACGGAGGAGCTACGGAGGCCGACACAGGATAAAGATTGCGTTGTCTAAAACACGGTTTCTTTACAAAGGTAAATTAAGGAATTATATTTACTTAATTATTCAGTAAACCAATATGTTATTGCGAATATTATTGTTACTTATTCAGCATTGTGTCAGTGTTTTATTCGCAAAAACAACATAGTGACGAAACACGCTCTTTAGAGCAGTTTGTCCATTTAGGGCTACTGTAAAAACATGGCGGCGCAAAATAGCGACTTCCATTTAAGGGGACCTGCGGTGTATGTAGATAGAAATGGTCCTTTTTCACATTTCCAGGATTCTCAGCAGCGGAAGTCGTCATAGTTGGGTAAACTTTGAGCAGTGAATGGGAGAGTACCACAAAATATTTTTTGCATTCCCATTTGCTCAAATAGCAAAAGAAAAACTACACGATAGTGTTTTCATGACTTCTTAGAAAAAATGAAAAATTTGAGAGAGACTGATAACGGCAGTCAGAGAGAACGATGTCAAATTTACCGTCCCTCCCATAGACGCTACATTAGAAACACCCTCGCATTAGCGTTAACTTTTTTTTTGTAATTTGATGCAAAGGTGATATAATACAAAGTATAGTGTTATAAATGTACATGCATTTAAAAAATATATATATAAATATAAAAAAAAACTTTTGAGGATTTACGATGCTGATGACCGTTGAAATGCATCATCACAGTCTTGTGAAAAGGGTCCATTGCTCATTCTAAGGTAATAAAAACATAACGGTTGATTATGTAAGGTCTTTATGCACCTCTGAAAACAGCTGTGTATATTATACTGCATTTCTGTCAATAGATCCTCCTAAATATTACACACTGCACCTTTAATGGTCTAACTCCACAATTCAGTACTACATAGTTCACAGTCTTTGTAACTTGTTTTTAGCAATACATTTCTAACATTTATAATGTCTTTAGTTATCTGAAATGCCTTTACACTGACTTTAATATGGTCATGAACGCATTGAGCATCATTGTCAGATATTAAATAATTCATTTGGTAAATTCATTTTTAAATATAAAAATTTATAATTTTTTATTAAAATAAAGTGATGTATCATCATTAAGAGCAAACATGATCTAACAATGAACAAAAGTACACTTAAAAATAAACAGATTAACCAAAAGATTAATTTAATTTAGCCTATGATCTGCAGATGAAGAATTTCATACATATTTGTAACAACATGAACTTTTTTTGTGTGTAAAATATCACTTTAACTCTTACATATTCTACCTAACACAGACTCCAGCAACCCAACACTCATCTATGCCATTATTTTTGTTATACAATTTAATATCAGTTATCAGTTAGGTATTTTTCTAACGAGTTGCTTTAATTTACTTTCAGTCACTGTAGATTAAGGTAGCCTATATTTACTTTTACTTAAGTATGACAATTGAAAACTTCATACACCATAGAACACACCCTTAGCAAAGATGAACCTACACAACTGTATTCAATAATTAACAGATTAGACTGGATTAGATTGCACAACCCAGGAGCTACAAACCTTCATAAGATGTCTCCAACTCAGGTTGCACAATCCAATACAGGCCACAGCCTTGCATTATGGTATCAGCTTACTGTATAGCCTTAAAGTGGTAATGTTGGGCTGTTATAAAGTAGTCAATGAATTTATGAGTCACTAAGCAATGAAACAATGAATGGAAGGATTTACTTGCAGTGTATTGTGTCGCTGTTATGTTTCAATTGAAGATAAATGCATGTAATGAAATAAATGCTTAAAATTACCACTTATCCCACATATTTAATTCTCATATTTCCACTTTAGTTGGATTAAGCTGTACAGGGAAGTTTCGATGTGCCTCTGGGTGCGTTAGCATGTCTGCACAGTGTGATGGGCATTTTGATTGTGAACACGGAGAAGATGAGCTGAGCTGTGGTGAGCACCAGCACACTTAACATTAGCATTAACGTTCAGTGCTGTTGTTGAATGTTGCTGTTCATATGTCAAGTGTCTATCTGCCTGTGCAGTGCGTCTGAGTGGGAAGAGCTCTGTACTTCAGGTGCTCATTGAAGGCGTCTGGAGGACTGTTTGTGCAGAGAACTGGGACTCTGAGCTTTCTCTCTCTGCTTGCAAACAGCTTGGCTATCTAAGGTACTGAATGCCATCAGGTCTTGACTGAAACACCCTCCTTTACACACCCTTCCTCTACATTTGTGTCTGATCCCGCTCCTGGAAGGCCACTATCCTGCATAGTTTAGCTCTTTAACCTCTATTAAATACAGCAGAAACAACTAATCAAGGGCTTTAGGCTTACTGGAAACTTCCAGGCATGCAGGTGTGTTGGGGGAGGACACTGGCCCACCAGGAGCCCACACTTCTCATTATATGATGGAATTAACGTACCCGACATGTGAAAACAGCATAATCGTGACCTAATCTTTAGGTGTGGACTCAAAACTAGGAATTTTGTTGCTAAATCAAGACAAAAAGCTTGTGCTGACTTGTTAGGTATTGCACTTTTATGGGTAGCACCAGCTATAGAAATCTGTAATAACCCATTCTGACTGTAGCTCTTTCTTAGCTTTTAGCACCAGACTCAACACAGACCAGTCAAACTACAAACATTCTAAGCTTTCGGATGAGATTTTGTGAATTTTATCCATTGAAAACTTTCTAAAAATGATAAAGACATTTGATAAAGGGATTGGGATACATGGATATTTGATGCGACACTGCACACTACCAATAAGCTACTGCTGATACCATAACATCAGGTTTAATACTTTTCCTCTTCTCTCTGTTAGATATGTGGAGTCAAAAGCTCTTCCTCTGTCCTCTGTTGAGCAGGACTTCCAAAGTAACCTGGTGTCAATAAGTATGAACAACACAAATGTCCAGCAGGCCATCAAGATACACAACATGACCAGTTTCAGGTATAACACACCCTTTTCATAATTACAGTGTTTGCAAAGCAGCAGTATTCTAAAAAAAATGTCCTGAACTTTGTAGATAGTTTCACATTTGTTCTTGTACAGATCACTTTCAAGCAACAAAGATCAAAGTTCAGTTCCAACCCTTCTTAAAACTGCCTGTCTAATTGTTCCTGGGGTGTTCCTAATTGCTGCTTCAGGTGTGTTGGATCAGGGTTGGAGCTGAATTCAGTACTCATGTAGATCTCCAGAAACAGGAGTGAACACTCGTGACTTAAAGTGCGGTCACATAGGCTACGTCTGAGTATCTAGGCCATTTTTTGAATAAGTAATTACTTAAGGAGCGCAGAAAGAGTACGTTCTATAGTATGAATGTGATCTGGATGTACTACATTTGCCATGTTGTCACTGTCACGTGACTTACCAGCATGAGTTGCGTTGCCTCACAGTCACTGCCAATCTTCTTCAGTGGCCTTATTGGATAGTAAAGTGTCCATTATACGCACATTTCAGAATCATGCCAGAAGTAGTCATTCAGGTACTTTTTGCCTATTCTATTATGACTACAGTAAATTTGGACATGCTTCTTTTGTCTGATACTGTTTTTTTTACCTAGGATACTATATATTAGGGAAGTATGCAATTTCGGATGCAGACAGTCTATTGTCCATTGTCAATTCACCTTATTTTTCAATGCAGAAGTAAGCTATATTCATTAGCGACTTTGGGTAAATAATTAGTACAATAACCAAGTGCAGTAAATAGTAATCTGTGCTACAAATCAGTGTTTCAAATTATACTAATAAATTATAATAATATAATAATAATAAGTACCAACCAAACAGCATAAATAAGGTGGAGCGTGTAGTGAAGTATAAAGAACAGCTCACACATAAGCCACATTCAAACAAAGCAGCTTTCTGTTGATCAATGCATATAGTTCACATGACTTGAACCTGATGTGAAAACTGCTTGGGGAAATCTTTTGTGATTGTGCATTGTTCCTGATTGCTTGAATTCCTATTGAAATGGATTCCCCTGCGAAAATTTGCCAAACAATGGTAATGAGGATACCTAGCAAATAAATTTAAAGTTAATAATCATGCAAATTGTATAAGAATATGAAACTCCACACCACAACTATAACGATAGTGACTCAGTAACTCACCTGATGAATGATAAAAACCTTGCCAGCCAGTCTGCACATTTATAATAAACAGAACGTTATTGCGCTTTGGTTTGGACAATAATATAGAGTTTACAGACAGTTTTAGATAGTATTCTAGTGTTTCGCTACTAATGAACCAGGCGTTCTCAGTCCTCTGAAAACTTTATTAAAGAACTGAAGGAGGTTACTGTTTTGGCCATAACCCATGCTGCACATAACAGGAAACACAAAAAAAGAATAACGCTCACTGCTCTCGGCTCTCGCTCTCAAAACTAACTATGAACTCTCTTTTTAGCCTGTTCTCCCCCCACGCTGGCCATCCCCCTGCCCCTTAAAGTGAATGGGGACTAACAGCTATAACCAGTTATTGCTAAATGAACATTGCTGAACATCATGACATTAACAAATGTCCTTCACATTTGTAACAACATCACAGCATCTACATGCATCTTCCTGTTTCCAAACTGATTTATTCCGGTTTCCAAAAGATACAACAGAAGCAAACAGAAGACACGGTAGAAAAACATCTCGGTTACGTATGTAACCTTGGTTCCCTGAATAGGGAATGAGATGCTGCGATGGCATCATCGCTATGGGAAACACCTCCGGTGTGATGAATGTCTGAAGCCCTTTTACCATCACGCCAATTCATTGGCCAATAGCGCTTAGCACATCCCCATGCATACGTCATGTATGCTCATATCCGTGTGCTACGTGCTATTTCATCAGATTTACACATGACGAAGGAAGCACTATCGAAGGTACGGGAATGGCCAGCATTGCAGTATCTCATTCCCTATTCAGGGAACCAAGGTTACATACGTAACTGAGATGTTCCCTTTCATAGGGAGCACAGACATCTTCCATTGAAGACCCCTTAAAGAAAGCCTGTGAAGAAACCATTAGCTCTCGTAGAATGAGCACACACACCTAGAGGCGAAGTCAATGTGAATGAAGTCTATCCAATGTGACATTCTCTGTTTGGTGACAGCAGACCCTTTGTTCTTACCACCAAAACACACAAACAACTGGTCAGATCCACACCACTGGGCTGTGAGGTCAACACAGATCTTCAACGCCCTCACCAGGCAGAGACTCAGAAGTCACACATCACTACCGAATCCTGCATCAGCAGGGGAGAAAGCCTCCAAACCCACTTGCTGAAAACGAAACGGAGTCGAAGCAACATTAGAAATGTACTCAGGCCTAGGTCGCAGTAAGACTTTAATCAGCCCCGGGGCAAAGTCCATAAAAGAAGGGCTGATAGAAAGAGCCTGCAGATCCCCAACTCTCTTAAGAGAGGATAGGGCCACCAAAAGAACTGTCTTAAGGGTCAAAAGTTTCTCTGACACAGACTCCAATAGCTCAAATGGATGGCCTGTCAGGCCTTACAAAATGACAGATGAGTCCTAAGAAGGAATCAGTGCCAGGCAGACAGGTCTAAGCCGTCTTGACCCCTGCATGAAATGGGAAACCAGAGGGTGACATCCAACGGAAACACCTCCCATGGGTATGTGCTCAGCAGATATGGCTGCCACTTAAACCTTAAGAGTGGCAGGGCCACCCCCTTAGAAAAATGACTTTGAAGAAACTCCATTACCAGAGTTACTGGATTACTGGACTGGGTCCAGATTGCATTGCCTACACTAGGACGCAAAAAGCTTCCACTTAAGAGCATACAAGTGTCTCGTGGAGGGAGCCCTAGAATTAAGAATAGAGAGCCGAGAGACCAGAACACATTAACACACTCCGCTCAGGGGCCACACCCTTAATCTCCAATAAATCTGAACGGGGATGCCAAATCATACCCCGAGCCTGAGTCAGTAGGTCATGTCTGAGGGGACCTCCTAAGGAAGGCTGCCTAACAGACTGACCAATTCCAAGAACCACATCTGAGGATAAAGACTGGTCCTGGGCCATTCGTGGGCCATAGCGTCTACACCCAGAGGCGACGGAGGAGACAGGGAAGACCAGAACGGGCAATGCGTAGTCATGCTCTGCCATATGAGACTCACCACCTGGGGGTGCAATCTCCATTCTCCGGCCTCCAAACTCGAGAGTAAGTAACTCTACTCCTAAGTTCAGGTGACCTGGGACATGGACTGCTCTGACCGACAGGAACTTGGTCTGCGCTCAAAGAAGAACATGTCTTGCCAACCTGCACAGGGAACGAGAGCGTAAACCTCCCTGATGATTTAGAAACGAGACCACAGCCATGTTGTCTGTCCTGTCCAAAATGTGACAACCTCTCAATTGGTGTAAGAACCATTTCAGTGCCAGAAACACTGCCAGCATCTCCAAACGGTTCATGTGATTGAGCTAATATCAGCCATTTGTCCAGGTAACGTGTCCATTCACTTTGCGTTCGAGGAGGTGGTTCAAATGGAGGAATACAGTATTAGCAAGCTTTATTAAAAAAGCAAGCCTGAGGAACTTCCTGTGTCTCTTGATGATCTGGATACAGAGTACGCCTTAGATCAATGGTCACAAACAAATCTCTGGTTCATATAGAGACAGGATGAACTTCTGCATCAGCATCTTGAAATTGCTTACTCCAAGCACAAGATTTAGGTGACACAAATCCAATCAAATGCAAACCAGTCACACTAGAAGAGACAGAGTTAGTTCCAAAATGGGTAGTCACCGTAGACGCTGGATGGTGTAACCATATGACTGACTGATCGTCCCTCATGAGGCCATGAGACTCCTGTGTTGCGGGAAAAACCTCTGAAGCAGGAAATAGATTACTAAAATCAGGCAAGCCAACACCAACCACAGAAGTGGGAGCTTGGATGTCAACATAAGCTAAGTCATGGAGAACAGTCAAAATCAGTCGGAAACGCAACAAGTGGCGGAACAGCTGACCGAGAGGCAAACACACTTATAGGTTGCCCACATTCATGCAAAAGTTCCAGCTCAATGCAACAGCAGAGCTGACAAGAACAGATTTGTATGACAACGATTATGTGTTCACACGAAATACATACTTGAAACCTTTTCACTTGTTATTTCGTTTAAGTCATTCCTTGGATAATTTGTGAGTACACTGTGTAAATTAAATTCACCCTATAGTTGGGCAATAAAAAGACAAACAACGTGATTTTGTTACTATGGGGAAATGACATGGACACAAGTCATATTTTTAATATTAAATCATTTTACTACATGGCAAGTTTCACATCCATAAAAGCAAGTGGTCTGAAAAGAAACTCATTATCCAGTTCAAGAATATAGCTTAATATTGAAACAATACAAAAAGGACAGCCGCGTAGTTCTACATAACTTTGGACTTCTACAATTACTTAAATTCCTCCATTCAATTTCACTTTGTATTAAGCAGGACACAAGCTACTGAATTAAAAGGCTTTCTGTTACCACATGTAAATGTCTAAAACGTTTGTTTATTTGAGAAATATATCTAACCAACTTCATCTAACTGCAATAAAGACAGCAAACAGTGCGCGAGAGTTGCGGGAATCAGTGACTGCAGTGCTCCGTTTTCAACTCCTCCCTCGACTTCAAGCGGCAAATCTCACCGATCGGTATTCGGTAAGTTCGTTTGAGATGCCAGACGCCTCTCCCTGAATCAGGATGAGAATAGACAGCAGCAGTAATCGTATTTGTGGCAGTTGTACAAGCGTTTGGGTGAACTCCATGCTGGTAGCGATAGCGCTTACTGTGCTGGCGGAAGTAAGAATACCCTGCTTTGCGTTAGAACGGAAGTTGCGTGACGCCATGTGAAAAGGGCCTATTCCTTTCGCGTTGTTTAATAAACACGAGAAACACTTAATCCAGGGGAGGGAAAGAGCAAACGTAATCCATAAACTCACCCCCTAACCTCTGCTTATATCTACAGCATGTGTCACCTAAGAGATTTTGAAAGTCCAAGGCCACTGTAGAGAACGTATCATCTAATCAGCAGCCGAAAGAATTGATTTGCGAGCTTCCGGAGCGGGAATCAGATTTGACTAACCACTGGACTAACAAGGCGCTCTTCTGATGAGCACATGTGGTCAAACCCCTACATATCTCTGATCATTTCTTCATTACATTTCAACTACATTTTGCTACCTGTGTGCCACCAACCCCCATACCGGTTACTTTTAGACTAAACCTACGCTCCCTTTCCCCCTCCCATCTTTCCTCCGTTGTATCCTCCTCTCTTCCCTCACCTACCCATTTCTCATCTCTGGATGAGAATGCAGCAACTGACAACAAGTTCAAGACATTGATGCTTGCATATAGAAAAGCCACAGGCTCAGCACCCGCCTACTTCCACTCACTACTACGAATTTACATCCCCTTCAGAAGTCTGAGATCCGCTAGTGAGCGACGCCTCGTGGTACCATCACAGAGAGGCTCAAAATCACTTTCCAGAACATTCTCGTTCACCACTCCTGGCTGGTGGAACGATCTTCCCACCCCTATCCGGAATGCTGAATCCCTGACAATTTTCAAGCGACAGCTGAAAACTCATCTCTTTCGAAGCTACTTGACTTTATCATAAAAAAAAATAATAATAAAATAAAAAAAAAATGTATCTCTCTTTATTTATTCCTTCTCTTTCTAGCTTGTACTTATTTGAACAATGTCTAAGAACTTGGTATTACAACCACTTCTTGTGTCTGTTTGCCTCTTTAAGAAGAATCGCTTTATGTATCCCCCAATTGTAAGTCGCTTTGGATAAAAGCGTCTGCTAAATGACTAAATGTAAATGTAAATGTAAATGTGGTCCGGGGAAGAGTGAGAGAGAGAGAAAGGGAATTCCATTCACTCTTGTTACACTCGGGCTCATCGCCGTCACCCCCAAGCGTCGAGCTCGTGCAGCACCTTGGCAACCGCAGAACTGGAACAACAGGGGTTGAACGAACATCACTCCTTCCTCAGAAAGAGAGCGAGCCCAGAGCACAACACTTACAAAACACAGATTATCTCAGACACAACAATAGGTATAGGCTGCGAAGCAGTCTACCTGTTTCATCGTGAGTCCATGATAAACCTGTAGCATGTATTCATACACTTTGGAAAACTCATTGTGTCCGCCTTAGAGGAGTAAACTGCTCTATAAAATAGCTGGTTCAGAACAAAAGAATCTCTTTCCGATGTCAACAGAAAGTTTGTTTCCTGAAGGAAATGAAATATAATGAAATAGCATGTAGCATGCTGATATGAGCATACGTGATGTATGCACGGGGCAGTGCTAAGTGCTATTGGCCAATGAATTAGCGTGATGGTATAAGGGCTTCAGACATTCGTCACACCGGAGGTGTTTCCCATAGGGATGACACCATCACAGCATTGAGTGAACCTATGAAAGGGAACCATGTACTTTCACAGCTGATCACACAGGAAGTTATGCCCCCTACTGGCTTAAATACTGTATCTTCTAAACATCACCATCCTATTCTCTTAAAGAGACACCATGTTAAATATCAAACACACAGTCCAGAAACATTACACTGAAAAATTACAAAATTAAAAAATATATACTATTTTTAAGCAAAAAGTAAGCAAATATGGTTTGCACATTATGGCCTATACACTCCCGGACTCTAATTGTATTCTGTTATTAGGAACAATTACAACAAGACAATCAACAATTAAAATCTATGTTCTGTTTACAGTTATCTTTTTATTTATCATTCTTTGAATGAATGTTCCTTTACGCTGATAAAATATCCAACATTCTAAATGTAAATGACAGCAATGACAAACAAACTTAGTTGCAATCAGTCCATTTAATCATTTCTAGCCACTCATACTGAACTTCAGTTAACTTTTATATTGTTTGTATAAAATTTTATCATAATTCTTTTGACTGAAAGCAAGATGCGTGCAGAGTGTTGTGACAAATACTAAGCAGCTCCGATATGATTTCATTTACACGGAACTAAAACCTGTATTCACCAGAAACTTTAACTCATATTTTGTTCCCTTCCAAGAACTGTAACTTTCTTCAGGATGTGCCAGTTTAGTTCTTTATAATGTGTTGTTAGTTCTTAATACTGAAGAATGTAAATTTGGTGAAGCTAATATCCTGTAATTTAATACACTCCTCTGACTGCACTACATAATGTCTCACCCTCAGGAATGAAAACTGAACCTGATGCTCATTGTTGTGCAATGCAAAAGTCAAACATATAAATTAATCTGTTTAATCTGCTTAAAGTTGTAGCTACTGTTGTAAATATATGATTGACTTTGGTCAGTTTGATCATGTATACAAGCCATTAGTGACATTTTTCACACAGAGCACAGCCTTTAGAATTACCTCTTACCTTATTTCTGTATCTTATTATATTGCTTTTGTACTATTTTAGACCTAGAGTGCCGTCTGCTCACAGCAGTTTCTCAGAACACTGTGCATACTTTAGAAGATTTTTGCATTACTTTGTTCTGTAGCCAACAGCTTCAAGTGCTTGATGCCCCCTTTTACCCTCTTTGAATGTAATGTTTTCACAGCTCCTATGCTTTTAATTTCTGTCAAGCACAGGAGATTAGTATGATTCTACAAAATCTTAAAGTCAAATATAATTAATGTTTTGTAGATTTACTCAGCATGCATAAACTGTTCCATTTCTGTCATAATTTTCTCACCACCAGTGATACAAACTATTTAGATTTTCTTTCTTGCATGGAACACAAAAGGAGGTCATCTTAGTCATATGATACCTATTTCTTATGTTTTCTAAAAATAGGCCTTCTATCTTCTTTTTTCCCAAGGCAGAAGTGGTTTTAGATGAATTAAGCCCATGAATGGCATACCATTTCTTAACCATCTATATCATTTTGTTGACTTCTCTATCCCTAGTAAAACCCAGTGCAGTCTGGGGATGATAACAACACTTAAGTGCATAGGTAAGTCATATCAACAGTACTTTTGTTGGTTTACAGGTACATTAGCATAATTTCTGTTAATTAAAAAAACTCATACATCCAGGCCAATAGGTGTCAGTGTAAAGTTCAAAGTTAAAACTATAATTACAGTAATTGTGACTTTTTATCTTACAATTGTGACTTTCTTCCTTGCAATTGCTTGCAAACGTTTATATCTCACAGTTCAGACTTTTCTCAAAACTGAGTTTATATCTTGCTATTGTGAGTTTATATCTATGTTTATATCTCGCAATTATGACATTTTATTCAGTACTCGGAATTGTGAAAAAAAAAAGAATTGTGAGAAAAAGTTTCAATTACCTTTTCTTTTTTTTGCATGGTGGAAATAAGCTTCCATACCTTTAAGTGTTTCAGAACTTTATTCATTTTAAAAGATGACCACTTTCTAAACTATAAATTGCAAATGTGAAAAATCATTGCCATATCAGTGATTAATAAGCAAACATTTGATCTATTTCTGCATAGCTTGTGGTTCCAGACCTAAGTTCATTGCTCGTATAGTAGGCGGTAACCTGTCGGTTGAGGGTCAGTTCCCCTGGCAGGTGAGCCTGCACTTTCAGAACGAGCACCTGTGTGGAGGCTCCATTATATCATCTCGCTGGATACTGACTGCTGCACACTGTGTATACGGGTGAGTTTAAAATGTCCTCATGAAAGAATATTCAGATAGCCACATGGAAATTATCATAGTCTGCTGCTTTCCATGCAGGTTTGCATTTCCTGTGCTGTGGAACGTCTATGTGGGTTTGACTGATCAACCGGTTAATGCAGTGCAGTCTCTCGCTGTGGAGAAGATCATTTATCACAGTCGCTACAGACCCAAGGGCTTGGACCATGATATAGCTCTGATGAAACTGGTGCAGCCCCTCAGCTTCAATGGTACCTTTTGCAAAAGGGGTTCTTTTAAAGGGGTCATAAACTTGCCTCTGTTTTTTATTTTTTTATTTTTTTTGTACTGTTCTCTGAGGTCCACTTATAATGTTATCACGATTTTTTACATCAAAAAACATCATAATTCAGAAGTATTAGTCTATTTTCTGTCCTGTTTTTAACCCTCCTCATCAGAACGCTCTGTTTGAATAGGCGTGGCGGATTGAAGACTCGCCCACTGCTATGATTGGCTGGTGATTGATGTGAATCAGTGGGTGGGGCTAAACAGGCAGTGATGTAGAAGCAGGCATTGATCTTATTCTGTGGAGGCAGTGTTTATCCACACTATTAAATCATAGAGTTGTACATTCCACAAGCTTTTGTTTTGGCAGACTGGCTTCAGTATATAAGCTGTTTTTAGACTAATGAGAAAGTTTTGAGTTCTAAAACTTACAGGATGTTTTTATGGTACAATGACCTCTTATATGTCAAAAGATCAAGGGAATTTTGGTTTATCAGTTCATGACCTCTTTAAAATGGAAAGTGGTTCTGAATAACCACATGGGGTGACGTTTATTTCACAAGCTAGTGTAATGACTGGCAGTTATGCAAATGGACTTTTAGTCTTATCTTAATAAGTTACATCCTCCATGCCCTTGTTTTGCATTCATTGTGACAAATGGCTTATCACCATTTTTTCAGGTTTTGTGGAGCCTATTTGTCTGCCGAACTTTGGGGAGGTGTTTGAGGATGGTAAAATGTGTTGGATCTCAGGATGGGGAGCCACAGATGATGGAGGTGAGTCTGGTAATTTAAAGGCCTTTACACACCAAACAGACATAGAAGAATTAGTGGCAACAAAAGCCGACTATCTTGTCACCTCTGTTTGCTTGTGTTTGTGCCAAAAAGTAGTGCTTGAACACACCAAAGACTACAGCCAATGGCCAGCTAGCACATATTTTCTGTGACTGTGTGTAAGGAAATAACTCTCACTACCAGTAGGTGGCAGTCCTCATCCTTTCAAAAAGGGAAAACGAAACCTGGTTGGAAAATATACGAAGCAGCGCTTGATTACCATTTTGTATATGACTCATGTTGACCAGTTTATTTTCACTTTGGTTGGTCTTCACAAAATGTCAAATTTGAAGACTGTGTGTGCTGTCTTGACTTTTTATGTTTGCTTAAAGGGGACATATCACACACTGTTTCTGCCAATCTCATGTTAATCTTGAGTACCTAGAGTAGTATTGCATCCTTCATATCTCCAGAGAGTCTTTAGTTTTGTCAGATTTATAAAAGACAGATACAGCTTTACGCTTCTCTCCGAAAACAGTCAAGCTTCTGGAGGCGTGCTGTGGGTGGAGTTAAAGAGTCACGAGCATGCAAAGCTTTTGAGTAGCGATTACCTGCAAGATGTGACATCAACATAATTCCCTTAATGCTTGGTTCTTTGGAAAGCTTAACGAGGATGTGAACATTTTTTACAAATTGGTATCTCATAATCGGTAATAACGATATGGTGTGAACACAACTTTATACGAACCCTGAAGAAGTGTCTTTGGCACAGACGTAATACGTAATACTCCGTCATACGTCTAACTTGTTTTTTGAGACTTTGGATTTTGCAATCCAACTCTTTAGCTTTGTGGGCAGTTGTAGCCTAATGTTTAAAGTGTCAGACTTGTAACCCAAAGGTCACAGGTTCGAGTCTCTGTACCGGCACGGATTGTAGGTGGGTGGAGTGAATAACCAGTGCTCTCTTCCACCCTCAATATTAATTCCCTTAATGCTTGGTTCTTTGGAAAGCTTAACGAGGATGTGAACATTTTTTACAAATTGGTATCTCATAATCGGTAATAACGATATGGTGTGAACACAACTTTATACGAACCCTGAAGAAGTGTCTTTGGCACAGACGTAATACGTAATACTCCGTCATACGTCTAACTTGTTTTTTGAGACTTTGGATTTTGCAATCCAACTCTTTAGCTTTGTGGGCAGTTGTAGCCTAATGTTTAGAGTGTCAGACTTGTAACCCAAAGGTCACAGGTTCGAGTCTCTGTACCGGCACGGATTGTAGGTGGGTGGAGTGAATAACCAGTGCTCTCTTCCACCCTCAATATCACGACTGAGATGAGACCCTTGAGCAAGGCACCGAACCCCCAACTGCTCCCCGGGCGCCGCAGCAATATGGCTGGCCACTGCTCCGGGTGTGTGTGTGTTTGTTACTACTCACTGCTGTGTGTGTTCACTTGGATGGGTGAAATGCAGAGCACAAATTCAGAGTATGGGACACCATACTTAGCTACATGTCCTTTCCTTTCCTTTTTTTAAGCTGTGTAAATAAGTAAGAATGCATGAAATAGCATTAAGGCCTTTCCACATTGAGCGCGAAAAAGCTAAACGAATATCTGACGCGATGGCGCGTTGGAATAAAACAACAGATTCCTATGGATGCTTCCACATAGACCGCAAACATTCGTGCACCGAAAATGCAAATGTTTTTTTTTTCGAACCAGTCCGACGAATCTTTTCAGTTTCACAAAGTGAAAACACGGGCCATCCAATAAGATTTGAGCATTACATCACGTGGCCAGAGCAACTGCTGTTACACAAAAGGTCGACACAGGGGCCCTAAAGGCTCAGAAGACTGTATTGAACACGAGCGTAAAAACACAGAAGTAGAGGGCTTTCAACCAACATACAAAGAATATGGATGTCAAGATGTTGTTGTTGTTGGTGTCTGAACATAGAGATATATTTATATTTATATTCATACGATATATTTTTTGTATATGTTTTTATGCAGCTCATGGTATTTTTATAACAGTAAAGGATGTTTATGACAAATGACAAGCAGGTAGTGTTCAGTCCATTATAACATACAAAGAGTGCATGTCTGCCTATTATAGAATCAAAATCCATTTTAGATCACAATCAGAAGTTCGATGATGGTTTAAAGTGGGGTTTGAGCAAAAACATTAATTATATAAATTTTGAAATGTAGCTTGATGCTAATTGTACCTCTAATTATATTTTCTTGTAAGCATTATGGATAGTTTGTGTTTCTGGACGATATAAAAGCCATATACAAGATACATAGGCTACATGAGGAAAAATGCATTGCTGGTCGGCGCCACCTAGCATGCAGGCGTGAATTCGTAAAAGGCGATTAATCATTTCGCGCTCAGTGTGAAAGCAACGTTTCGTGATTCGCCTCGCTTTTTCGCAACGCGCTCAGTGTGAAACGACCTTTAGACATCCCCTTTAAATATTTTATCAGTGCTTCTCTCATAATGTGTATTTAATGTCACACTTCGTGATCATCACTCACATGAACGAGTACCAATTTGCATCAGATTGCATCGGGGTTTTGTCAGCAATCTCGAGAAAATTGTCGGTGAGTGAAAATCGGGCCTAAAATCGTGTAGTTTATACCCGACATAAGCTGAAGGGCCAATCCAAGTGATCTTTCTCACCAAGTGTCCAATGATTCAACAATTCAACATGCTCAGTTGGGTGCCGACAATGTGAAATACACTGCAGAACTAGAACAAGATGAAGAAAACTATTGGTTACGTCAATAATAATAATAATAATTTGACCCGGTCAGGTCACTCAAACCAATGAGGGCAAATGGGCATTCAAGTACTCCTGGGTGGATAGTTTTTATTTGGGAGTTGTGAAATTGTAATTCTGATGTCAGTCGCAAATAAATCACTTTGGTCAGAGCAAGATGGCAATGTACCTTTTCTACAAAAATACAGCAAGATTTTACACAGAATGATGAATAAAGAATGTGCATCAGTTTAGCTCAGTCATGACCATTCAGATGAACAGACTGCAGTTCTGTTTGGTGCAAAGCAATAAAACTACAGTCCCCTGATGAAAGATTTTGTAGTTCTTGTGCCGCTGCTACTTAAGAGTTAAACGGGCATAGCCACCAAAAAGAACAACACATTCATTCTTATGAGTTTGTAAAATGTTGTGTTCTATTAGGTGAAGGGAGTGTTTCGCTGCATTCAGCAAGAGTACCACTGATCTCTACAAAAGCTTGCAGTCAGCCGGAGGTTTACCAAGGTTATATATCACCAGGCATGATCTGTGCAGGGTACTTGGAGGGGGGAACAGACTCCTGCCAGGTATATCATCTCACCATGGATTTGTACGTCACTGAATAAAACATTTTCATGCACATCAAATTACACTTAATTTATATATTCCTTAAAGGGGTCATATGATGCTGCTAAAAAGAACATTATTTTGTGTATTTGGTGTAATGAAATGTGTTTATGCGGTTTAAGGTTAAAAAAACACATTATTTTCCACATTTATACCACAGACTTATACTGTCTTTTTACGCATTGCTTTGCATCACGCCACGTAAACATAAAACCATGTCTGCATTCATGATCGGAGAAATGACAAACAACAAGTCCTACTCTACACTCCCCAAAAAACTCGCTTTAAATATATAAAATATAAAAACTCTTTAAATATAAAAAACGTACTTACAGTCTTTGAGTCAGAACAGCTGGCATTGTAGCCTACTCTCCCAGGATCAGGAAACAGTCCTCCATAAAATGTGCTGCACACATCTGAATATTTGGGTTGAAGTGTTCTGGAACAGTGTTGTAAATACAACTTAACCACTGATTTCTAGTCGTGTCCATTTTTGGAAGACCAAACAAAGTAGTTTCGCTTTCACAACGAAACACAGCTTCACACACGGCGGCCTAGAGTTAGCAGAGGCCGGGGGATAAAGGCATGACGAAGCGGGTATCGTCCTCTTTTGGAAGACCAAACAAAGTAGTTTCGCTTTCACAACGAAACACACAGCGTCTTCACGACATGGCGGCAGCAACAATACTACAGCGAGAATAAAAGTTACGCCTTCTTTCTTTGCGTGAACATTTGGGCAGTGTTATGCTAATATTTCCACATCGTGAGGTAGATATGTGGAGGCGTGTTAGAACGAGCCATTTTAGATAGGCGTGGTTGACTTTTAACTTTTATAGAGAATATCTCTTTGGATTTGAGACTTTAGTCTTTGCAACTTTACAGATCTTCTTTATGCACCAAGAGCTTGTAACACTCCAAAGAGAAAGGAAAAATTGAAAACGCATCATATGACCCCTTTAAGTCTATAATAACCATTGGTTATTAGAATTTGACCAAATACTGATTAACTTTGGAAAATTGCAATACTTGAAGGACCTACAGAAAAAGAAAGAAAGAAGAAAAAAAAACCTTTTTGTCTATGTTGGTAACAGGGTGACAGTGGTGGTCCATTGGCTTGTGAGGATTCCTTCACCTGGAAATTGGTGGGAGCCACGAGCTGGGGGCAAGGCTGTGCAGAAAAGAACAAACCTGGGGTTTACACGCGCATCACACAGTCCCTCGCCTGGATACATCTGCAGATGGAGGTCAGCATATGATCATGTCTGTCTGTGAACTTATGAGTCCAGGAAGTTATGAGGTTTGTCAAAACAGCTATATAGTGACACTGTCTCCTTTTAATGAATTTCACATATTTTCATAGCTTCAAATAAAAAGTTTGCAATGTTGTGATTCATTCCTTAAAACTACAATAAAATGAATAAGAAAATTTCAGGACCAAGGTATTTGGAAAAGTGTATGGTTGCACTCTGGGGAAAATGTACGGTGCCCGCATGGTCGGTTCACTTAGTTTTGTCGTGGCCACGAGATATTAATTTGAGGGAATGTCATATTAACTCGTGGGAACAACATATTTTTCTCGTGGCCACGAGTTTAATGCGTAAACAGACCTGCGCAACCCGGGATTATCAAAAATGGATAAAACATTTTTATTAACATTAAACTTTTAATTTAATATTTGTATATTATTATTATCATTACATTAACTTATTAGGGCTATATTTTTATATTTATTGTTACATATGCTTATTTCCCCTTTCAATTTGTGTATGGCTTTACCTAGTTAACGTTTTGTATAATTATGCTAGCATTTGCTAGCCTACCATATATTTCGCAAATAAACGCCTGACAATTAGGCTATGCCAATAAAGTTTTAACTTTATGATTGTATTTATGCCCATGTGTGATGATAAATGAGCGTGTTGTTTTTTCATTTACAAATGAAACTACGTGAATGATTAATTCCTCAACGAAACACGTAGGCCTATTTATAATTATGGTCTATTAATTAGCCGAAATAAAATGAAATATGTTAAATTTAAACTGCATTCCAGCAAAACTTCCAGTCAGCATAATCAAAGCTTTATTGGCATGTCGAGCATTTACAGTAGGCTATTATTTACAAAAGTAGGCTATTCAGAACGTTAAGTAAAGAGCTCGAAATGAAGGGGAAAAATTTATATAAACGAATATAAAAATATAACCAATAATAAGCTAATAATAATATACAAATATTACGGGAAAAAGACGATCAGTTAATGGACTTACAAGACTGTAGGATGGATAAAAATGTTTTCTTGTAGGCCTATTTTATAGTATGCACTTTATGTAACATTTATTCATCATGATACAGTCCGGTAGCCAAGGCCTATGGTTAGTACAATAATTTCATAATTTCTATAATAATGTAATAATTTCTTAATTCAAAATAAAATATTAATGAACCCATATCTGATAATCCCACGACATATCACGTTCCCACGAGTTATGTCGTGGCCACGACAAAACTAAGTGAACCGACCATGTCACCTCGGGGGCCTGTAAAAATGACATGGGAAAAGCTATTTTTGTTTAGAAAGGTCATGCAGGAAGGACATTCATTATCTTATCACGTAATATTAGGAGTTATGCTAATGATTCAGTGCCCTCTTGTGGTTTGAAACGAATAATACAATAAAACTATACTTTTCTTTGCCTCATTTCATACAGAGAGAAGAAATACTGCATCCCTCTGAAACCAGCTCTGATTATTGAGACATACTTATGGGAAATGCAACATCAAGGAACTGAATCCAAGCAGACTCCACAAAAAAAACAAACCCTGCCACAGGTTGCACCTGTCACTCGGTCATATAGAGGCACAGCGCAATAAATCATTATATTAAGTACACTCACATCTGAAAAAGTTTTATTCAGTGTAAGTAGTCTTATACAGTACTTGCTACTGTTTTAAGAAATACCTGCCAAACACTCCTCTAATGTATCATGAATTATTAAATACACAAATATTTCCAGAGACACGCAAGTGACAATGTGCTTATGTCTAATATGCAATAAATACAGAGAAAAAAGGACAAAGGCCCCATCCATGCAAAAAGCATTTTCACTGTTGCAAAACTTTGTAAAGGCTTTAATATGGTATACTGTTGTAGTGTTTACAGTCCTTAAATAATCACTTAAAAAACAGCACACAATTAACATCGTTTAAGGTAAAATGGTGTGGCAAAATGCTCCGATTTGACCTTTATTTCACTTTAATATGGACATTTTATGCCATAATTCCCAAAGCATCTTTCATAACTCTGATTGTTAAGGAAGCTTTGTACATGTTAGATCAAACTACATTAACCTACAGAGCAAAAACAAAGAGGTCCCTCTGAAACGAAGGAACATCTTCAGCATACGGATGAAGATTACTGGAAGAGACTTTGATTTAACTTATCTTACTAAATGTAATCAACGTATCAGGCTTTCTGTGCTTATCAGCGGTATAGTTTTAAAAAAAAGAATATGTAAGGCATTTTGTATGCGAGTGTTAAACTTAATTTACATATTTAAAAATGGTTTATAATCCAGCATTTTTTTGTGTTTTTTTTCTAAAAAACTTTCTAAGTCATCCCCTGAAAACAGGGCAGATAGTATAGTTTCTGTACATAAATATTCCCTATAAAACACAAACTAAAAAAAAAAGAAAAAAAACAACACTTTTTACAACGTTCATATATAAAAATAATAAATCTCTTTTCTCGAACTCCGTCTTGGAGCCTCTCTACAAGCGTGAGCATACTGAAGAGAACATGAACATGCAGTGTGAATAAAACCAGCACGACGACAAACTCTTAAAATCTTGGCATTCAAAAGGAGTTAATATAGAAAACAAAATCATTACAAACGTTCACTAAAGAAGCTTAAAAACATTCCTCTGTGTTCTATTGTTGCAAACTTCTTGAAGGGTCTCTATATAAAAGTGCACGCACCTGCACGTCTACACAATAAAACCAGGTGCTGAAATGCAACTCCTCGCACACAGCATCTTTCAGTAACGTTGTGCTCTCTGTAAACTGTTCGAGTGTGTTTGTGTAACATATAGGCCAACATACAGTACTCTTAATTAATTTTTTTGTAGTGCACAAGTATCAGCTTTGCTGAAAGTCTATGAGGGGACTGGATCTCTTGCCACAAGTGTTATGTGCAAGTTTTCCAATGTAAATGTAAGCATGCAGTGTGTGACCTGCGATCCATGCGTCTTAGTCGCTAACATCTAAACCCAGCCCGGTCATGTTAGCAGATGATAAATCTGCGTCATCTTCATTGCCGCTTTCCTCTGATTCATCCTCGCTGTGATTTCCCATCATGACTTGCTGCATGGCGAGAGTTGCTCCATCTGATGAAAGCGCCTGGAAGCCATCGACGTTCATCCCCACTGTAACCATACTACCTGCACACAATCACAATACATATATTCCACTGTCAAAAATCAGTTAATGAAAATCTGTAATATAAAACTGACTCTTTTTGGGCACGAGTTAGTGATGGGAAGTCCGGCTCCTTTCAAAGATTCGGCTCGGCTCCCTTAGAAGAGCCGGCTCTTACGGCTCCCAAATGGCTCTTCATTTAGTATCACTCGGAGCCTTCTATTTTAGCACAATTTAGCAAATGTGAATGGTTTGTGTATTGGTAAGCAATTTTTTATTCAGTGTTTTTATAATAGCCTTATTTTTATGCATTTTTTTCGTTACAAAAAAATAGTTACTATTATTTAACATTTTAATAAAACTTTAATTGACATTTTTTTCGTTACAAAAAAATACAGTTACTATTATTTAACATTTTAATAAAACTTTAATTGAGAACAATTTGAACACAGAACCACTGCAAACAAATCAAATAAATAAAGGCAAAAGACTTAACATGAATACACTTTAGTCTTTAGTGCAGGTTGGCATTCAGAAATATCAGATGCCTCAGCTTGGGTGTGCTGATGCGATTTCTCCTCTCCGATGATTTGTCCCGTTTTTGAGAACATTCTCTAAGGGGACTGATGTTGCAACAACGCAGTGTCTTCCTACCTTAACCAACACGCTTGCGTTTAAATCCGGATCACCCGCCTCTGTGTACCTGGCCTTTACCACTACACTCACTATCTTCGGAGCTAGTCTATCCTCCCATGTGATTAGCTGCATATGTATTTTTTATTTTTTTAAAAGCACATTATTTTGAGACCGTACCGTCTGGCATTGTGAGCTGCTGCTGGGTTCCAGATGAGGCGATGGAGTCAGACCAGAAGCGGTGTAGCGGGCGGCTCGGAGCGGTCTTCTTCTTGGTTTTGGCCATCTCTGAGTTGACATCCAGCATTGGCTGCAAGATCCGTCTTCGAGCATTAATAAACCTACAGGATAGACCCAGACAATATTTTGCATCACTCGCTATGCATGAAGGATATATCAGTGCGTGGAAAGTTAATTACATTGAATAGTTTTGCAAGTTATTTTAGGTTTACATACTGCATTTCAATCATTTTAAATGTGTGATGAACAAGCTGATAGACCGCAACTTTCAAGGTTTATGTAACAAACATGATATCATGTATAAATGAGTGATAGAAATTCATATTCTTTACATTCTAAATTCAGATGTAGTTATTTGGGTTTACTGTTCACACCATCATTATTTTGCTTTGTTTATGCTACTTCTGTGCATGACATTGTAATTAAAAATGCCCAGCTAGGTAGTTGTTTCCTAGGTGCACTTGAAGGCAGGATGTCTGAATATTTTAAGGAAACACATAAATGCACAGCATTTGAGAACTCACTGTAAAAATTTTGTATTTAATAGATCAGGAGATAAAAACATAAGACTAGGAACTTTAAAATAGGTCTGTCACGTTATTTTGGTAAATCAAAGAAACGGAAAAATGAAAAACAAATGTTTTTTGCACATGTAATAATGTGCCAATAACGACTGGAAAATTATGAAAAAGTAAGCCTTATCATTTTAAGATATGATTGAACACTTCTGTTGCAATACACAACAGATTTGATCGATTATGTGGTTAATTTCTGTTGTTGATCCTGTGTAGACAAGTCAACCGGAGAGGCTAGAACAGAGTCACTGTCTACTTTGTGTTCTTGCTGGATTGACTTACCAGTTGTTGACCTGGAGTAAAGACAGGTTTGTTTGAATTGCAAGTTGCTTTTTCTCTTCCTCAGTGGGATAAGGATGCTAAATAAAGAAGATGAACAAGGGATTGTTTATAAATTGATATCAGGTACAACAAAACTGCACAGAATGACTTTAAATGGTTGTTTGCCTACTAACCGCTATGTGCTGGAAGAGCCAGGTGCGCATGACACTAGTAGCCTGTTTGGGGAGAACACCACGCTTGTTTTTAGGCGAGTTATCTCCCCCAAAGAAACTCAAGTCCTGATTGAGCTGAAGCTGGAGCTGAAGGAAGTAGAAGGAGTCACTGATCAGTGAGTCTGCTTGTGATCTGTGAGTAAATGTGTTTGTGTGTGCTCTGCTGGAGTGTCACGCAAACCTGTGAGTTCTGGATGTGTATTGTTCCAGGTGAGATGGCTTGTGTCACCACTTGTCCCTGTGGTGTGACTACCGTCACTGGCTGATACACTGAATTACCTGCACAGAAACAAGATTTTCTTTTTCTTTTCTTTTTATCTGAGGAACCATCATTTCAACCAAATAGCCACTGATGCCAATTCGATTGAAAATGTTCACATGTAATAAGCAAAACCTAAAATAATCAAAATTATCTACTAAATGAACACATTTATGCATTAACAATAAGTGTAAAATTATTTAAATGGAACAATACGTAATAAAATAAACAGCAATGTTTATAAAACATTTGGAAATCAATGTATGAATAAAAAAAAAACATAGGTCTTTTAGGGATAATCAATGTAAATAATTACTTAAAATAATCCGTTCAGATTGAATTATTCATAACCACCCATTTTGAAAAATAGTGTTTAAAGAATATTGTTGTGTAGAAATACTGGTAATTTTCACCTTGTACTCATAGTTTTGTCACATTCAAACAGATTGAACACAAACTATCTGCAAGAGTTCAAATATGACATATACTCATATGATTGTAACCCCACGCAGCTCCCACTGCAATTCATAACACATGAACATGTACCTGCGACCATGTGTGATGGATTGACTGCCGTCACTGTAACATTGCCTTGAAGTCCTTGTGAGGGCACCACAACACCCTGGGGGCTGAGGACACTTGAGAAAGGGTTGGACAGCTGCAAAAGAATAAATCAATCAAACAATACATCAAAGTACTTGTTGTGAGTGTTAGTGTCTAAAATAAGAGGAAATGGCTTTTACTTGGTCATGGACTGGAGAGTATGGGCTGCCTGGCTCTCCACTCAGGAGTGTCTCACTGTTCATCTTGGTCTTGAGGCAGGAAATGTAACGGCTGCAGAAGTCCTTGCACAGGTCACTAACTTTCTCTAGCTCTAACAGATGAATCCGCAGCACCTGGATGGCCTTGACCATCTGATAGCAAGCATACATTTGTGACACTTGTCAGAGTTTGAAGTTAAGGTCAAAGCTATAAGGTATATATAGTAATATTAGCTATTTTGTCACCATCTGCCACATCTCTTACCAAGTTGTCAAGGTCTGGGTCTTCACTAAAGAAGGCTTTGCCATCTTTCTCCTGACTGCGTACAAAGTTTTCAATGTCAACATCAAAACTGGCAGAGGTTACGCAGTCAGAGCCCTGAGTGGACTGCTCACACTTCTCAAACAGCAGGGCCAAGAGAGGGAAGAGGGGATGTCTGTGGTGAAGAAACATGTAAGAGACAACACCGTTCAAGGCACTCCTTACAGCATACGTCTGAGAGCAAAATACATTAATTTTACGATCACTTTTGATCAGAATGTTTCCTTGCTGAACAAAATATTCTTTTAAGTCAATCTCAATCAGAATGCATTTGATAACTTCGGTTACAAACATAAATCAACTCCAGCTAAAGCCTTGTTGGTGTAAAAGCGAAATGTGAAGCACTAAACTGAGACGCATTACAGTCAGCTCGTTTAGCCATTGACTGAGACTGAACTTTGAAGAACGAGAGAAGACTCGTCGGTCCGGCCTAAATGCTCTCGTTACTTGGACTGGGAAGTAAAGGGAGCAGCGGGTGCTGAAGTAGGAAGCGCCATGTTCCTCGGTAACAAACGGCCAGAGCTGTTAGCTAGTGCTTTATTAGCCGCTAGCAAGCCAAGCACAGTCGCTACAGAGGCTCGCACAGGGCACTAATCCTTCACTTTTACTGCACATGAGCGCTGTTCTCGACCTGAAGCCAATTTATAGGACGTTAACGTGCGATTTGAATTACGGTAGTTTAAAAACCAACTGTAAAGCGGATCATTTAGCCCCGAGACTGTCGTCTAGCGCTCCTCTGGCCTGACTGAGAGCAGAGAGAGACACACAGAGCCGCTAAACCCGGGCCTACACTCAGCCATCGGTCGCCCTTGCTAGAATGAAGCCTCATGTCCCTCAAAAAGCCGACATAGCTTTATTAGCCGCTAGCAAGCCAAGCACAGTCGCTACAGAGGCTCGCACACGGCACTAATCCTTCACTTTTACTGCACATGAGCGCTGTTCTCGACCTGAAGCCAATTTATAGGACGTTAACGTGCGATTTGAATTACGGTAGTTTAAAAACCAACTGTAAAGCGGATAATTTAGCCCCGAGACTGTCGTCTAGCGCTCCTCTGGCCTGACTGAGAGCAGAGAGAGACACAGAGCCGCTAAACCCGGGCCTACACTCAGCCATCGGTCGCCCTTGCTAGAATGAAGCCTCATGTCCCTCAAAAAGCCGACATATTTTTTTTCTCCATCTAGAGATTTTTAGGACAAGATTGGCTCGACTGTCCCATGCAACGCCCGTGAGCCGCTAACAGCGTATGCTCTGTTTCACTCGGCCCCGGGCATTTCTGCGCGTCGCTCGGATTGTGTGATTGATAGGAGCGGAAAAAGACGAGTTTGAGTGACAGCTTACCTGGGTGCCAATCTTCGTCACACTGACAAGCGGCTGCAGCAATCGGGATCCGCATTTGTCGCGCTGCGTCATCACGCACGGGGACGCAGCGCACTCAGCTCATGAATAATTAAGTAGGGGGAGGAGCAGTGACGTGAGTCCTCAGCGAATATTTTAACCACTCCCCGTTATGGGAGTGCCAGGATCGGGACAATTAGTTTTCAAATCTGTGCCATTTAAGTGCAATTTATTTGTTTGATGTTCTGCCCAAAAATGCCTTTTCTCAAAAATGTCACCATTTCTTTCAGGGCTGTCTACATTTTAAATAACTCTTTGCATTCATGAGTTCATTTTAAAGGATCTTGCAGTGGGCAAATCATTTTTAAAAGTACAGAAATGCCATTTAGTTGTTATAGAAAATGCCTTTTTTTTCTACGTATTGCAAGGAAAAAGTCGGAATCGTGAGCCCTGTACATACAGTGTATGTCAGAAGTGCAATATACATAAAATGTCACAGTCACCTTTTTATTTTTAATTATGTTGTGGAAACAAAGATGTAAACTCCAGAATTGCGAGAAGAGATTTAAAAAATCATAGTATTTTTTCTTAGAATTTCAAGAAACACAATACGAATTGTGAGATAAATTCACAATCACACAATTTTTTAAAAATGTTTTAATTATGCGGCAGAAACTAATAATTAACATGAGGCAGAAATTACTCATAAAACATTAGAAATTAGGTCATTTTGAACCTTTTAGTCTCACCTTTTAATTAATTCAGGAAATACAGCATTTAAACCGTTTGCCAAGTTAAAGTTTAGAAGTACACTGCCCTCCTTTATGCAACTAACAGTGTAATAAAGTCGAAGCAAGCATAGCCTCATTACAATAAAGTATAAATTGAGATCAACACCATTCGAATACTGTAGAAGACAACAGCAACAAATAACTCTGGAACCACTCTGAAGAAGTTAAATCATTTTAATTCCATAATTATAGAATTCTAGCATGAAGCTTGAGATTTGCCAGTAAATCGTCTGAGGAACAGTGAACATGTGGAAGAAGCAGGGTTGTGGACTAAGGTAGCAATAACACAGGCTCAGTGTCTGCCTGCGGAAGGCTGGGGCAGACGGTATTTAGACAGCTCTACATCCACATCAGCAAAGGTGTACATGTTGTAGTCGTGGTGCTGCAGGTTCTTGTACGTGGTGTTGTCAAAGGGCTCCGGCTCTGGGGCTTTCTCCGGGGCTTGCTCTGAGGAAATCAATAATGTAAGAGATTAAATGTAAGACATGTGGAACTGGGGGAAAAACACCACACAATGTAACTAACAGCAACGGAAAGACAAGATGTTGTTTCAGGAAAAAAGCCCATACAATGAGTACCGTGCCCAAGGAACAAGTAACTGAACATTTCTTTTAGATTGGAAGATAAGTGCGAATAAAAATATTTGCGGAAGGACAAACCAAAGTAAAAATTAAACACAGAATGATCATAGAAGGAAGTACATTTAAGAGAGCCGAGGAAGAGTCTTCCTGTTAATTCCTTACTCTTCAAAAGGACTTCTGATTTGAATCTTCACACTTTCATGGCATTACAGTAATCACTTTCAATCCACAGGTGGTCCTTTACACAAAAAGGTGCGAGGGGCCTCTAGTTTTTTTACCTAGACTACATGCGTCTGACAGTTTCTCTCACAATAACTTTAATTACTCTGAGGAACAGTGAACATGTGGAAGAAGCAGGGTTGTGGACTAAGGTAGCAATAACACAGGCTCAGTGTCTGCCTGCGGAAGGCTGGGGCAGACGGTATTTAGACAGCTCTACATCCACATCAGCAAAGGTGTACATGTTGTAGTCGTGGTGCTGCAGGTTCTTGTACGTGGTGTTGTCAAAGGGCTCCGGCTCTGGGGCTTTCTCCGGGGCTTGCTCTGAGGAAATCAATAATGTAAGAGATTAAATGTAAGACATGTGGAACTGGGGGAAAAACACCACACAATGTAACTAACAGCAACGGAAAGACAAGATGTTGTTTCAGGAAAAAAGCCCATACAATGAGTACCGTGCCCAAGGAACAAGTAACTGAACATTTCTTTTAGATTGGAAGATAAGTGCGAATAAAAATATTTGCGGAAGGACAAACCAAAGTAAAAATTAAACACAGAATGATCATAGAAGGAAGTACATTTAAGAGAGCCGAGGAAGAGTCTTCCTGTTAATTCCTTACTCTTCAAAAGGACTTCTGATTTGAATCTTCACACTTTCATAGCATTACAGTAATCACTTTCAATCCACAGGTGGTCCTTTACACAAAAAGGTGCGAGGGGCCTCTAGTTTTTTTACCTAGACTACATGCGTCTTGACAGTTTCTCTCACAATAACTTTAATTACTCTTGTAATTTTCCATTTCACCTACTACAGCTCCAGTCAATCAAACCTTTAAGTAAACCAGATGCTTATAAAGACAGGATCTTTCCACATTACTCTATTATTTTGCTCAGTTTTACCATAAATGTTATAAAACAACATTATAACACCCACAGGTTACAGCATAAGTACACAAACTGATAAATCAAACGTCCCACAATTCATGAATCTCGACATAACACACTTATTTGTTATTACAGAACAAAACATATAAGTATCCAAGATTAAAAAGGGAGGGTTTTGACTGATGATGCCGGTAAGTAACCGCATTATATATGATCTCAATCGCTTAAAAACATCAATATGGGATGCTGAAACAGGAACATGAATGGATTAACTTTAGTCTTCACATGGGAAAATATTACCATTAATGTAACGGGATCAAACAAACAATATTTCACAATTTAAGAAAATATGTACATCAAGCATAAAATACAAATAAACCCTGGGAGTGGAGATGTTCATACAGGGGCAGAAAGTGTGAGAGGAACAGACAGAAGAGTGAGAAGAGTGCTTTGCATTGTCCATTAAGAAAAAAAGAAAGAAAACGCAAAAGCTAGTAAGCTTCTAGACGTATGGAGGGGTAAAAAATATATATATTTTAAGTAAACCACTTCAATGTAAAGTTGGCTTTATCCTATGTGTCCAGTGGTGTGGAAGAAATCCACTTAATAGCACTCAAAACACAGCAGTGTGGTCTTCAGCATGAATGCCGTCAATGACACAATCATGTATATGCACAATTACAGATAAAAACATGCTTACTTTTCTTAAATGCTTATTTGCACAATGCTTTTACTACTTATTCCAAAATTCACAATCTTCCATGTGAGCCTCAGCTCCCATAGAGAAAACACACACTCATCCCCCAGTCACTCTGCACCAGTGGACATCATACAGAAACATTTTAAGTAACTGTTTCTTGCAATAAATAAATAAGGTGTTGATGCCAATTATGAGGTAAGTTACCTGTAATTTTTTGTTTTCAATGGAAAGAAAATGGGTAACATTTTATTTAAGGTGTCCTTGTTACAAGTGTTACATACATACTATTATAATAACAATAAATTGTGTAGAATTGCATGCAAGTAACCCTAAGACAAACCCTAATCGTAACCCTAACCATATAGTAAATACATGTAGTTAATTAATATTACTCTGTGCTTAAATGTAGAATTACACTGTAACAAGGACACCTTAAAATAGTGTAACCAAGAAATGTAATGAACCACATCTATTCTACCCCTCCAATGTGCTTAAAATGCGTTCATACATACAGCAATTTTATCACTGGAGTGGGAATATTATTGGTTTAAGTAGGCGTTCATACAGTGCTACTGTTACTGAAGAGTCATAGCTTTTGAAAATCTGTTAAAATGCATCATAAATAATCATCCATCATGGTGATGATATGCATGAATGAATCTCTCACAGGAGAGACCACACAATATGAGTTACTGTGATTGCCTTTGTGGAGCAGTACTGTAGTCAATGCACTGCATCACGTCTCATTTGCATGAAGATGATAAACTTTTTTATTTTTATTTATTTTTTCCTTTTATTTATCTAGGGCAGTTGAAAGTGACCGGAAACAACTGGATAGGAGAAAAGGGAATAGGACTAATCCGGGACTCAATCTCTGGTCACTCTAAGCCAACCGTCCCTGCTGCTCATGTTATCGGAAATTAAAATTACTCTTATTACTTAGTTACTTTCTTGCTTTATGTGTGAACACCTTGCTGATGAAAACAGAAATGCACAGGAGGGGGAGCACTATTAAAGTGACATACAGTACTTTTGTTAATATCACTCTCTACAGAACTATTTTGAAATGTGTTGTATGGTTAATTATATTATTATACGACAATACAGACAGAAGAGTAGTGAGTAATGAATAGAATTAAAAGAAGCCATTTACAACCCAAACATCCAGGTAGAATTAAAGAATGAGTCATGCAAATTTATGAACATGCAATAGTTAATAAAATAACTCAATAAAAAAAGCAAATGTAATGCAAATGCATAATGAAGATTAAAAGTTGCAAAGCCTTTGTGCAAAAGCAATCCCACTGCCGCAATAAAAGTAAATTAGTGTTGAATACATGGTAAGAGAAATGCGTTTCTGTGATGTGACGGATCCAGAGAAAGAAACTGAGTAAGGATGTGTGGTGTACCCTCAGGTGTCTCCACAACGTTGGTCTCAGCCCAAGCCTCCACAGCATCAGCGGCCACAGGTGCAGGGTCTACCAGCTCTTCTGAAGTGGCTGCCGGTGTTCCTGCCTCAGCTTTGGATGATGCATCTTCAGGTTTAGCTGCAACATCTCCAGAAGCCTCAGAAGCTACTCCAGGACTCGCTTCAACGGCAGTTTTTACTACTTCAGGACTGGCTTCTGTAGGGATGTCTGGGACAACTTCTGCAGCAACTTTGACAGCATCTTCAGCTTTGATTTCTGGTTCCTTTTCAACAACAATCTCCTCCACAGCAGCCGTTTTTACTACTTCTTCAGGACTGGCTTCTGTAGGGACGTCTGGGACAACTTCTGCAGCAACTTTGACAGCATCTTCAGCTTTGATTTCTGGTTCCTTTTCAACAAGAGTTTCCTCCACAGCAGCCATTTTTACTACTTCTTCAGGACTGGCTTCTGTAGGGACGTCTGGGACAACTTCTGCAGCAACTTCGACAGCATCTTCAGCTTTGATTTCTGGTTCCTTTTCAACAAGAGTTTCCTCCACAGCAGCCATTTTTACTACTTCTTCAGGACTGGCTTCTGTAGGGACGTCTGGGACAACTTCTGCAGCAACTTCGACAGCATCTTCAGCTTTGATTTCTGGTTCCTTTTCAACAAGAGTTTCCTCCACAGCAGCCATTTTTACTAGGAGAGATAGCCTTTACAGCTAGAGAATTTCACGGATACGGTACAAAATAATTAGGTTTAAAAAGATTATAAATTATATTGATTAGGTGTCATTTTCAAAATGTTCTCCGCATATTACAAGAGCTTGTCACCCAGCTATAAGCACTGTTATTCAACGAAATTGACATTAGAGAGTGGGATAGTTTTACAGATCCGAAACAGGGATGACGTTTGTTGTGGGCGATCCAGGTAGAATTAAAGAATGAGTCATGCAAATTTATGAACATGCAATAGTTAATAAAATAACTCAATAAAAAAAGCAAATGTAATGCAAATGCATAATGAAGATTAAAAGTTGCAAAGCCTTTGTGCAAAAGCAATCCCACTGCCGCAATAAAAGTATATTAGTGTTGAATACATGGTAAGAGAAATGTGTTTCTGTGATGTGACGGATCCAGAGAAAGAAACTGAGTAAGGATGTGTGGTGTACCCTCAGGTGTCTCCACAACGTTGGTCTCAGCCCAAGCCTCCACAGCATCAGCGGCCACAGGTGCAGGGTCTACCAGCTCTTCTGAAGTGGCTGCCGGTGTTCCTGCCTCAGCTTTGGATGATGCATCTTCAGGTTTAGCTGCAACATCTCCAGAAGCCTCAGAAGCTACTCCAGGACTCGCTTCAACGGCAGTTTTTACTACTTCAGGACTGGCTTCTGTAGGGATGTCTGGGACCACTTCTGCAGCAACTTTGACAGCATATTCAGCTTTGATTTCTGGTTCCTTTTCAACAAGAGTTTCCTCCACAGCAGCCATTTTTACTACTTCTTCAGGACTGGCTTCTGTAGGGACGTCTGGGACAACTTCTGCAGCAACTTCGACAGCATCTTCAGCTTTGATTTCTGGTTCCTTTTCAAATGAAAACAGAAATGCACAGGAGGGGGAGCACTATTAAAGTGACATACAGTACTTTTGTTAATATCACTCTCTACAGAACTATTTTGAAATGTGTTGTATGGTTAATTATATTATTATACGACAATACAGACAGAAGAGTAGTGAGTAATGAATAGAATTAAAAGAAGCCATTTACAACCCAAACATCCAGGTAGAATTAAAGAATGAGTCATGCAAATTTATGAACATGCAATAGTTAATAAAATAACTCAAAAAAAGCAAATGTAATGCAAATGCATAATGAAGATTAAAAGTTGCAAAGCCTTTGTGCAAAAGCAATCCCACTGCCGCAATAAAAGTATATTAGTGTTGAATACATGGTAAGAGAAATGTGTTTCTGTGATGTGACGGATCCAGAGAAAGAAACTGAGTAAGGATGTGTGGTGTACCCTCAGGTGTCTCCACAACGTTGGTCTCAGCCCAAGCCTCCACAGCATCAGCGGCCACAGGTGCAGGGTCTACCAGCTCTTCTGAAGTGGCTGCCGGTGTTCCTGCCTCAGCTTTGGATGATGCATCTTCAGGTTTAGCTGCAACATCTCCAGAAGCCTCAGAAGCTACTCCAGGACTCGCTTCAACGGCAGTTTTTACTACTTCAGGACTGGCTTCTGTAGGGATGTCTGGGACAACTTCTGCAGCAACTTTGACAGCATCTTCAGCTTTGATTTCTGGTTCCTTTTCAACAACAATCTCCTCCACAGCAGCCGTTTTTACTACTTCTTCAGGACTGGCTTCTGTAGGGACGTCTGGGACAACTTCTGCAGCAACTTTGACAGCATCTTCAGCTTTGATTTCTGGTTCCTTTTCAACAACAATCTCCTCCACAGCAGCCGTTTTAACTTCTGTTGCGGTGTCCACTATCTTATCAGTAGTGTCAGCTTTTATGTATTCACTGGACATTTCTGGAATCGATTCGGTTGTGGAGGATGATACTATAGGGGCAGGATCAATAAGGTTCTCATCTGATCCATCTGGTTTGGCACTTGGTGCAGGAACCTCTTCTGGTTTTGCTTTAGTCACAGTTTTTGCACTTTCTTGAGCTTCTCCAAATGAGGCAGATTCAGGCAATGCTCGCTTATCTACTTGTTCAGTCGTCAGTTCAGGAGCTTTCTTCTCCTCTGCTGCTTTCTCTCCAGACTTTAGTGTTTCTGGTGTTTCAGTCTTTGGTTTCTCATCATCAGAATCCGAGTCTGAATCAGAATCACTGGAGGATGAGGATGAGGATGAAGAAGAGCTATTGTCTTGATCTTTCTGTACTTCTGCCTCAACATCTGAGGCCTTACTTCTTTTGCTTTTTGTAGAGACTTCATTAGTAGGTGGGACTTCAGTGATCTTTGCCTCTTCGACAGCAACTTCAGCTGCTGCTGTATCAGCAACTGGACCGTCAGCTGTCGTCTCACTTGCAGCGGCTGTGGAAACAGCCTCAATGGTTTCAGACTCACCTAAAGCTACATCTTTGGGAAGAAATCCTGTGGCAGACAGCTTAGAAGGGAAGGCAACTGTGGGCTTGTAGGCTAGTAGAGAGGCCCTCTCATCGGCTGAGGAAATGGTAAATGGGATAAAATACATGAGATTGTTTTTGTAGTTTATTACATTAGAGAAACCCTCCTGTTCAATGTAACTGTTAAACCCAGCAAACGCCATAAGAAAACCTTGCACACCCTATCAAAGTCCCTTTAAGGCTTGTCAGTCCACTTAGCAACCTCCAAGGCAGTCACAGCACTACTTGAATGTGGAAAGACCAGAATCTGTTTGTTAAATAGTTCAAATCCCCAATAGTGTCTTACAAAAATGTAGGCTGAGCATCTTTAGCAAAACCAGGCTAAAAACTGCATTTTCAGTCTAGTCCAGCTAATGAGCAAGCACACTGCAGAGTAATAATTTAAAGACCACATAAATATTGTTGTTTTGTACATTTAAGTCAATTTTGTGTAATTCTAGAGGCCAACTACACTACTGTTAAGTTTGGGGCCGGTAAGATTTTTTTTTAAAGAAATGTATACTTTCAATCAGATCGAAAGTGACAGTAAAGAAAATAATATTACAAAAGATTTATATATATATATATATATATATATATTCATTTTTTAACTTTCTATAAACCAAGTATCGGTTTGTAAACATTAAGGATGCGCGTGCATCATGGTTGCAGAAAACCCGGGAGAGATAGCCTTTACAGCTAGAATTTATTTTTTCCTTTTATTTATCTAGGGCAGTTGAAAGTGACCGGAAACAACTGGATAGGAGAAAAGGGAATAGGACTAATCCGGGACTCAATCTCTGGTCACTCTAAGCCAACCGTCCCTGCTGCTCATGTTATCATTTCTAATAGTAAGGTTTAAATAATATTTCATGCTGTAACTGTAGGGCTAATACAATACGTCCCCTATGAACAGCATATGTGAATATTATGTAGACCCATTGTTTAAATCGAATTTATGCTTTAAAAGTAGAGTAACGTTAATCATAGCAGTTTTCATCCATAGTATGTCCATTTAAACGTCTGCGTTTAGCTTCAAATGACGACAGTATTCTATAAAAATGATTTGCATTCCGATCTTGACATCAAAACGCACAAAAATATTTTTTTCTTTTATTCCATGGATTTTACCCATTTATCTCCACTTGTTCCCAGTGTTTTTCTGCAACCACTATGCGCGCGCAGCTGCAAGTGACGTAACTGTGACTTCTACTCTAAATTGGTCTATTCATCAAAGAATCCTGAAAAAAATGTTCAGCTTTGCCATCACAGAAAAAAATTTTAGTTTATAAATGTCATAATTATTTCACAATATTACTGTATTTTTGATCAAATAAATGCAGCCTCGGTGAACATAAGAGATTTCTTTCAAAACCATAAAAAAATCTTACTGACCACAGTCTTTTGAATGGTAGTAATGCATATACTAATGTACTCCTTAAAGATTAAATATATATATATTTTACAAAAATATTTCTAAGTTTTAAAATGTTAATTTCATGAAATATACCTATACAAAGTTTACATGTCCAATACAATACTCTCTTGAATGACAATGTTTCCTTGCCTAAATTATATATAACTGCCATCACGCACTAATAGCAAATCATGGTTTATAAGTGTGAAGAAAAAAAATACACGAAAAAGGCTTCAATATGTCCCATACCAAACTACATCATTAAAACCATTACTTTGCACAGTACTACAAATTGTTTGTGAAAATGCCACCTTCAACAGTAAAAGCATTGAAGAATCCCTTGAACAAGAATAGTCATGCAGATATCTTTAAAGGAAATGTGTGCATGCTTTTAAAACCAATTAATATAACTGCATGAGCTTCCATTGGTTGTCCTCAACCATTTCAGCCAAAAGTAAATGATGCTTTTGAAAGCACGTGTCTTTAGAAAGCATGAGGCTGAAGGGATGGGATCTAGTGATCTAGTTCAGAGGGTAAGGGCATGTCCAAAATACCCACACTTGCAGTCCTGGCCACTTGAGAGCGTGTGCATGTGACAGGAAGTGCGTGCTGGAAGTTCAGACTGTCCCAGGTCTGAAAAATGGCAAAAGCTCAGTGACCTTAATTCACACTAAACCTAATACCGCTTCAGGGCAGTATTTGAGGCTAAGTGTATCCCATCATTCATCGTGGAACTCATATGCCCCAAAATTGCGAGAAAAATTTGAAAAACTTTATAGTTTTGTCAGTTATAATAATTGGAAGTAAAAAAATAAAAATAAAAAAAAAGTGTTGCTACTGTTGCACACTGCATTGGTGCAGAGATGAGTACATGTATTTTGCAAAACTGAATTTTATCACTTAAAGGGACACGTTTATTAATCCTAATCCTTAATTTCTCACATTAATCCTCATGTTGTTCCAAACCTTTATGACTGCGTTTCTTCAGTAGAAAGCAAAATCAGCCATTTTGAAGAATGTCTGTAACCCAAACAGGTACCTGTTTTGGTATTTTTTCGTCCATAAAACAGAAGTCAATGGGAATCAAATCTGCCTGGTTACCAACATATTTTCTATTTCAGCCAAAAGTAAATGATGCTTTTGAAAGCACGTGTCTTTAGAAAGCATGAGGCTGAAGGGATGGGATCTAGTGATCTAGTTCAGAGGGTAAGGGCATGTCCAAAATACCCACACTTGCAGTCCTGGCCACTTGAGAGTGTGTGCATGTGACAGGAAGTGCGTGCTGGAAGTTCAGACTGTCCCAGGTCTGAAAAATGGCAAAAGCTCAGTGACCTTAATTCACACTAAACCTAATACCGCTTCAGGGCAGTATTTGAGGCTAAGTGTATCCCATCATTCATCGTGGAACTCATATGCCCCAAAATTGCGAGAAAAATTTGAAAAACTTTATAGTTTTGTCAGTTATAATAATTGGAAGTAAAAAAATAAAAATAAAAAAAAAGTGTTGCTACTGTTGCACACTGCATTGGTGCAGAGATGAGTACATGTATTTTGCAAAACTGAATTTTATCACTTAAAGGGACACGTTTATTAATCCTAATCCTTAATTTCTCACATTAATCCTCATGTTGTTCCAAACCTTTATGACTGCGTTTCTTCAGTAGAAAGCAAAATCAGCCATTTTGAAGAATGTCTGTAACCCAAACAGGTACCTGTTTTGGTATTTTTTCGTCCATAAAACAGAAGTCAATGGGAATCAAATCTGCCTGGTTACCAACATATTTTCTTTCTTTTACACGTCATGTCAGTATAGACTCATGTAAGTGCAAAGACAACAAGTGTGGGTAACTGAGACAGGCCCCATGTATAGATGGAAGATGCTAAATGGCTAAAATCACCTACAGAACCTCAAAGCACACATTTTAATTACACACATAATATAATCATGCTGTAGACAGATCACGGGTGAGGTTGGAGTATAGTGAACATCACACAAACTCGAGAGGGGAGATGTATGGAAAGAAAAAAGCATGCCCTTACTCTTACTCTTACTTGGAGCCTTTGCCTTCTTTGCTGTTTTGGGTGGGACGTCCCCTTTAGTGCAGAGAGCTGCAATAAATGAGGTCCTAGGTGTCCCCCAGCCCTCACGCAGGAGACCCTGTATGAACACAGAAAAACATATTATTAATCCAGTAACATTTTTAAATGAGTCATTAAAATAAAGGTTATTTAACGTAATGTAATATTTTACTGACATCGTGCATCATGGTTGCAGAAAACCCGGGAGAGATAGCCTTTACAGCTAGAGAATTTCACGGATACGGTACAAAATAGTTAGGTTTAAAAAGATTATAAATTATATTGATTAGGTGTCATTTTCAAAATGTTCTCCGCATATTACAAGAACTTGTCACCCAGCGATAAGCATTGTTATTCAACGAAATTGACGTTAGAGAGTGGGATAGTCTTACAGATCCGAAACAGGGATGACGTTTGTTGTGGGCAGAGCCTATCTGGAGGCAGAAAATTAGGGTTTTCAAGTGGCAGTCTATGGAGCCATGGAATAAGAGAATTAAAAAAAAGGTAAATTAGATTTTATATTTCAAAATTATGACTTTATTCTCGCAATTCCGAGATTATATCTCACAATTCTAATAAGGAAAAACAACTGGTCATTCTCTTTTTTCCCCTCAGATTTGACAAACTCACTATTTTTGAGTTAAGTCGAGTTATAAAGTCCGAATTAGGAGATATAAACTTGCATTTGCGAGAGAAAAAAAAGTCAGAATTAGATAAAGTAAATAAATATTATGTAATAATGTTAATAGTAAGCTTTTTCAGCTTTGCCATCACAGAAAAAAATTTAAGTTTATAAATGTCATAATTATTTCACAATATTACTGTATTTTTGATCAAATAAATGCAGCCTTGGTGAACATAAGAGATTTCTTTCAAAACCATAAAAAAAATCTTACTGACCACAGTCTTTTGAATGGTTGTAATGCATATACTAATGTACTCCTTAAAGATTAAAAATATATATATTTAAATATAATATATATAGTTTTAAAATGTTAATTTCATGAAATATACCTATACGTATACAAATTTTGCATGTCCAATACAATACTCTCTTGAATGACAATGTTTCCTTGCCTAAATTATATATAACTGCCACTAATAGCAAATCATGGTTTAGAAGTGTGAAGAAAAAAAATACACAAAAAAGGCTTCAATATGTCCCATACCAAACTACATCATTAAAACCATTACTTTGCACGTCCCCCAGCCCTCACGCAGGAGACCCTGTATGAACACAGAAAAACATATTATTAATCCAGTAACATTTTTAAATGCTTTTTAAATGAGTCATTAAAATAAAGGTTATTTAACGTAATGTAATATTTTACTGACATTTCACTATTAAGGTTATAACGGGCAGAGATTTAAGTCCTGTTTTAACGTGTCTTCACCAAAAATCGTATGCGAAAGGCTCTTCAAACACATTTACAAAGTATCTCCAGACCACCTTAGTATAAATGCAGCGAAAATGAGTTTATTATTACCTTGACAGAGCCAAGTCGACCTAACCTGAGCAGGGACGTCGCCATCTTTGTTCTCCTGTTATTATTGTCCGGGTCGAACATGATACTCACGAATCGGTCTTTATCTTCTTTCTTTTACTGGCAACCGCACTTAACTAAAACCATTACTTTGCACAGTACTACAAATTGTTTGTGAAAATGCCACCTTCAACAGTAAAAGCATTGAAGAATCCCTTGAACAAGAATAGTCATGCAGATATCTTTAAAGGAAATGTGTGCATGCTTTTAAAACCAATTAATATAACTGCATGAGCTTCCATTGTTTGTCCTCAAATATTTCAGCCAAAAGTAAATGATGCTTTTGAAAGCACGTGTCTTTAGAAAGCATGAGGCTGAAGGGATGGGATCTAGTGATCTAGTTCAGAGGGTAAGGGCATGTCCAAAATACCCACACTTGCAGTCCTGGCCACTTGAGAGTTCACACAATCCCGTTGGATGTTTAGATATTAAATGTAATGTTTTATTCAAACCTGTATGTCCCATTCTTAGTCTTGTAATTATACTTTCCTCCGCACGAATCGGTCGTTATCAATGGTTCCCTCAAAATGAAAAGGTGAGAATATTGTGTGGTTCAGGGGGCATGCTCCACACAGATTTTCCTTTAAAGATATTTGTTTTACATGCTCATTTGTAGCTACTTTGAACCATTTTTTAAAAATATTTCTTATTACTTTTATTCTTATATGTCCAAAACTGTATTAAAAAAAAAGGGGGGGGGGGAAAATCTTGTTGCAACATTTTACAAAAATCAAGATTGAATATATTTGGTCAAGATCTCATGTTACACGGGTGAGGTTGGAGTATAGTGAACATCACACAAACTCGAGAGGGGAGATGTATGGAAAGAAAAAAGCATGCCCTTACTCTTACTCTTACTTGGAGCCTTTGCCTTCTTTGCTGTTTTGGGTGGGACGTCCCCTTTAGTGCAGAGTGCTGCAATAAATGAGGTCCTAGGTGTCCCCCAGCCCTCACGCAGGAGACCCTGTATGAACACAGAAAAACATATTATTAATCCAGTAACATTTTTAAATGAGTCATTAAAATAAAGGTTATTTAACGTAATGTAATATTTTACTGACATTTCACTATTAAGGTTATAACGGGCAGAGATTTAAGTCCTGTTTTAACGTGTCTTCACCAAAAATCGTATGCGAAAGGCTCTTCAAACACATTTACAAAGTAGCTAATGCAGCGAAAATGAGTTTATTATTACCTTGACAGAGCCAAGTCGACCTAACCTGAGCAGGGACGTCGCCATCTTTGTTCTCCTGTTATTATTGTCCGGGTCGAAAATGATACTCACGAATCGGTCTTTATCTTCTTTCTTTTACTGGCAACCGCACTGAACCGGCATCAACTAGACCACCAGCGGCACTGAGAAAACACGAAAAGTAGCTATCAATTTATTTAAAAAAAAAAAAGTAAGATCACAAAGAGCAGCATCACTCTTCAGAGACAAGCAAGAGAGTTCGATAGTAAAACACCATGTACCCGCTTTTTGTGGAGTATGCACGGATTGAATCTAGGAACAGTTTCTGAATGGGGTCCAATCCAGCTGACAATCACAGGAAACACAACAATTAACAAGTGTTAATACAATCTCTAAGAAACAAGACATGTATATGGATGCCAGAATCCTTTATATCTTGGTCAATAAAGAAGAAATCAGTCTTCTTTAACCCTCATGCATGAGAAGAGTGCCTGGTGTGGAGACTAGATCTACGGTTCACTTTTGGGGGGTTTTCCACTGGGTAGTACCTGGTACCTGGTACTTTTTTTAGTACCACTTCGGTTGGGGTTCCAAGTGAACCGTACCGTTACCAAAACGTGACGTGTAAACTCTGCTGATCACGGATTGGCCGGAGAGAATCGTCACTACCTGCGTCACTGAACTTGCGACACAAACACAACAGAACCGCTAGATTTAAATCTAGCCAGCGAAGGATCGAACACAACTGTTTTGAACGAGCGCACCTTTTTTTAACAAACAAAAAGTGGTTGTTTCGTTGTCTGTTGAGGAAGTACAGACGTTCCTCTCGTTGATAGCAGAGGAACAGATCCAGCGAGAGCTGGGGAGTCGCGGCAGTAGAGGCGGTGCAACTATAACGACATGTGAATAATCCCACCCACTCTAAAGCGGTACTAATCTGCAGTGGAAACGCGAGCCGAGCCGTGCCGTGCCGAGCCGTACCACTCAGTGGAAAAGCGCCACTAGTGAACTAAAGAGAACCGAGTCAAGGAGCAGGTCAGGCGGTGAGTAACTAGGACAGAGGTTGCATCTACACTGAAATGAAACGGAAGCATTTCATCTCATAAAAGTGATTGTGTAATAATCATAAACAAATGCCCATCAAACAACTCGTGATTATTGTTTTAGGTAATCGTCATACATTCTTAATTTTGCATCCTGTAATAAACTGTTGCTTCCATTCCACATACAGCAAACAGTGCAGTCTCAATCTCACTCCATACATACACCATATTGGGAAAGTGGGTAAGGAGCATTTCATATTTAACTTTGACATATAAACCACAGTACACAGGAAAAGATAAGAGGACAATTAACCAATCACTGATATCATGCGACCCCCTGGGAAGAAAGTGCGTTTGGGTGAGGAAAGAGCAACAGGAAAGAAAGGTGAGGTCAAAGTACATTTACATGTTACCATACTCATAAACAAACTAGTCAAAACATAGCAATGCATCACCTGTGATGATATCTTAAACTTAAAATTTTACCTAACTGTGACTTTAACAGGAAATAAAACCCAACATTTGTTCTGACAAAGTGACAATTTCTAATAAAGCACAACAAATGGAGTGTTATCTTTACAGATGGTGGAGTTGGGATGGGGCATAAATGAGAAAACAATTGTTGTAATAATAATAATAATAATGTGTATATAATAGGGCTGTCAATTCAATCATCAATAAACATGTTAATAAAATTGATATGCTGAATAATGAACATAATTAATTGATATTACTGTGACAGACTAAGCATGGAATAAATTTACAAAAAAAGTGGTTTTCAAGACGATATACTGTTTCATTTACATAATAAAATTTAGCTTATATTCAACAGTAATCTATTTTGTCTGTTTGCCTGTTGTAGACTTAAGGCACATTTATACAAGATCATACGTGCTGATTTTTTAATTGTCAGTCTGTATGTAAAACTATGCTAAACAGACATGTCTATGTCATATCTCGCAGTTTTTTTAGCGCCTTGCGCAATGAGCATTTCAAGTTCTTCAACTTAGTTAAATGTGTTATTCCACATGCGTTTACAAATTAAATGAACCAAACTGACATTGAATTGATGGCCAGTAAATTAGCACTTCAATTTGGGTAAACGTGAAATTTCACATTTTTAACAGTGAAATGTGCAACTATTTTCACAAAATTTCACATTATAGTCAACATGTTACTTGCCGTTTCTTTGTAATTATTTGTGCAATTGTTTCAAACTAAATCCTATACCAAGTTATTTTTCAGTGTACTAAATTCATGATAAATTGATAGTCCTAGTAAATACAGTTATTCTCCGAGGAGTGAGGTCATAAATACAAGGACTGAACAAAGACAAAAGATTTCAATGAAAGAAGCAAAGGAAGACAGGAGCAGGATACAAGAGGTCAAATACATGGAATAATGAACAACTCCATGAACAGAAAAGAAGGAAAAAAGAGACGAGTGTAAAAAAGCGGATAAAATAATTAATAATAAGCTGCAAAAATAATAAATATAACCGAAAGGTAGCAGTCAGTGAAATTATGCGGTGAAAAACATGCATTGCATAACATGAAGACTCAAAACATTACAAACAAACATATATAATGCAGACATGCGCAAAGACGGATGACGGATAGGGAGACTGGCTATATTCATGGACTGAAAACCAGGGCGCAGACTTAAAATACACCATCAAAACGAAAAATGGTGTGCCATCTCTGCCCCAGCTTAGAAAATGAATATAGCCTTGATTGAGCAACTTGAGTTTCTGTTGTTGATGTTGTAGAGAAACAATTAGGGGTGTCACAGTTTCTAAAGATAGTGTTCTGTTGTCACAGTTTTGGTACAATTTAGTAAAAAAATCATTTCTAAATTTCCAATTAATTGTGACATTAATACTCTATTAAACACCATGAAGGTTTAATTATCCAATATTAGCCCCAATTAATCGAATGCATAGTGTGAGGGGTCTCCTGCTATGGCCGGCCAGTGGGTGTGGCTAGGAGCCCCATTAGCCAGAACTCATGTCACCAGTTCCTTCCTCTGTAAAACTTTGTGTTACTGTGGATGCGTTGTTCCTTTGGTTGTTTTTGTTGGAGTTTCATTTTTTTTATTTTGGAGTGTCTCTATGGCATCCGTGAATGTTTTTTTTTATTGGAGCTTGGTAAGTAGGCTACTTTCTATATTTGATGGGTAACACTTGGATTATGCTTTTCCCTGTAAAGGTTTAGCAGGGTGTCCTTTACAGGATGCTCTGATTGTTGTTTTTACTTTAGCTTGTTGTGTTTGTACGGTGAACGCAGTTAGAGCACTGGCTCGGGAACATGTCCGTGTTTTGTAATGGTAACTTGCCAATTGGTTGCCATTGCAAACAATGGTTTACGGTGTATAAAAACCTGCTGCAAGTAACTGTATGAAGACTAGGGTTGAGTTTTGAATAGGTAGAGGGAATCGCTTTTCCGGTGTTGCTACTCTTCAGATATTTGTTAAACAATATAAGTAGGCCTACATTTGTTTTGTGTTTCAGTTTGGCTTCTAAAAATGTGAGAATTTGTTACAGCATCGTCGGAAGATTTATTCGATAATTTTTTTTCTAAAGATCAGCTCTTAGAACTCGCAACTCATTACAAAATGAATTTGTCGACTCGAGATAAACGTTTAAAAGACAGCATTAAAACCATGATAAAAACTGAGTTGTTTGATCGTGGTATTTTAAAATCACAATTGTCTACAGAAGCTGCCATTAGTGATAGGTCTTCAATGTCTCATTTGACATTTAAGCAACAGAAACAGTTGTTGTTAATTGAAACTGTTGATCGTATTGAATTGTCTGAAGTTCAATTACAGCAGCAGCAACTTTAACGCTACCGCTTGGACTTGATAAGAAGACAGTAAGCTTTTAGTCACTAATGGAGCGGAAGGAGAAATTGTTTCGCGGAGATTTGATATTGTGAGTAATATGAAGCGGATTCCTAAGTTTGATTAAAATGATGTTGAGCGTTTCTTTTCGTTGTTTGAGCGTGTAGCTAATGCGTGAGATTGACCAGATGAGGAACGTATGTTGATGTTGCAATGTGTTTTTACAGGCAGAGCACAAGAAGCATATTCCTCTCTTAGTTTGGATATTGCAGCTGATCATGGGACTGTAAAGCCTGCAGTATTAAAAGTTTACGAATTGGTTCCAGAGGCCTAAAGACAAAAGTTTAGGTCTTGGGAAGAAAAAAAACGCATGTTGAATTTGCGCGTGATATTTCGATGTATTTTATTCGCTTGTGTATGGCTCCTAATGTAAACACACTGGACGATTTAAAAGATTTATTAGTGCTCAAACAATTTAAAAACTCTACTTCAGATCGTGTTGCAACATTCATAAGTGAACGTAAACCTGCCACTGCATATGAGGCTGCTGTTTTAGCTGACGAGTTTACGTTGATTCACAAGACTTCTTTTGGTTACAAGACCTATGGAGAAAAAGACCTAAAGGAGCCGTTTGGAAGGAGCCATGCAAAAGCTACGGTTACTTATCTTGGGAAGGTGGCTGGTCAACGTAAATTGCATCTCATCCGCACTAAGGTGGAAGCTATAGATAAGTATCCTATGCCCACTACCAAAAAAAAGTGTTTTCTTTTAGCGATTTTTGGGCATGGCTGGATTTTATCGTCGTTTTTGTAGAAATGTTTCTACTGTTGCAATGCCCCTTACTAATTTGTTGCAGGGAGGCGTGGATTTTTGTTGGACTTCTGTTTGTCAGCAGGCATTTGAGAAAATAAAAATGCTGCTTACGGAGGCACCTGTATTATCCGCCCCAAAATTTGACCACCCTTTCCAATTGCAGATGGATGCCAGTAATGTGGGTGCTGGTACGGTCTTGTTTCAGAGATCTGAAGAGGGCATTGATTGCCAAAGGAACAACACATCCACAGTAACACAAAGTTTTATAGAGGAAGGAACAGGTGACATGAATCCTGGCTGATGGGGCTCCTAGCCACACCCACTGGCTGGCCGTAGCAGGAGACCCGTCACAATACTAAACTGTTGTTGTTGTTGTTTTTATGAACCGTTTCACCCCTAAATGCATTTGCATGTATGCTATGAACTAACACATGGCAATGCAATGCAATGACAAAAGCTAATGACACACTGTAATGTAACTAACTGTATAAATGAAAGGGTAAGAAAATGCATTGTGATTATATCTTTACCATTAGCATTACAAATTTGTATATATAAAACCTGTAACCAAAATTGAGAAAAAAATTGCTTTCAAAATTTTGCTGCATCCCAATATATGAAAGGGGGTTATAGGGGATGGTGAGTACCCTCAGGCGTCTCCACAACTTCTGCTGGAACTTCAGTAGCATCTGAGATCACAGGGGCAGGATCTATCAGCTCTTCAGCAGGAGCTGCCTCTGCAACCGCCTCAATAGGGCCAGATTCTCCAACTACCTCAGCAACAGCCTCTACAACTGGGGAAGCTTCCGCCACAACTTCTGCAACTACTTCACTGACAGCTTCTACAACCTCAGCAACTGCTTCCTGGACAGGGGCGTCTTCTGTAGGTGCATCTTCAGAGGCCGGTGCAGCAGGGGCTTCAGGAGCTGCAGCTTCAACTGCAGGGGATGCAGTTTCAGCAATAGTTTCTGGAGGGCAAACTGTGGCCTCAGGTGTAAGCTCAATGGCTTCAGCTGCAGGTGTGGCTTCAACTTCAGGGGCAGTAGCTTCAGCTACAGGAGTGGCTTCAACTACAGGGGCAGCGGCTTCAGCTGCAGGGGTGGCTTCAACTTCAGGGGCAGCGGCTTCAGCTACAGGGGCAGCGGCTTCAGCTACAGGGGCAGTGGCTTCAGCTACAGGGGCAGTGGCTTCAATTACAGGGGCAGTGGCTTCAGCTACAGGAGTGGCTTCAACTACAGGGGCAGTGGCTTCAGCTACAGGAGTGGCTTCAACTACAGGGGCAGCGGCTTCAACTACAGGAATGGCTTCAAATGCGGGGGCAATGGCTTCAGCTCTGGGAGCAGCGGCTTCGGCTGCAGGCGCGGTGGCAGTTACAACTGGTTTAGGTGCAGGGGCAGCAACAGATGCAGCTTCTGTAGAGGCAGCAGTAACCGAAGCTGCAACCTCCTTCTTGGGGAATTCCACATATGATCTGTGCTGGACAAGTTTTTCTATATCGAAGTAAGTTTTTGGTGCTGCTTTTTCTAGGATGGAGGGGGAAGGAGGGCAAAAATAGAAATGTAATAATTTGCTTCATCATGTGCATTATCAGGCTGAATGAAGACCGCTAAACTCATACAGCAAAATAACTTACCCAATTTCTTCAACAATTAGATGAGCATCCACTGAGGTGGTGGAGCTTTGAGCACCTTATAACCCTATTCGTGCACATCAAATTTGAACTATGGCTAATTTAAAAAACCATCTGACAGGAAAAGTAACCTAAACATTTCACATTCAGTAAACCCCATTTTCATAAAACAAATTAAAGTATTGTACTGTTAATACCCTTATTTTCATTGGAAAATACAAGGTAAAATGCAAAAGATTCTTTCATTATAATTGTTCCAAAATTCTAGAGTTATTGAAGCTAAAAGGCTATATATTTTCATATCACCATTATTTTAAAGTAGCGCCAAGTAACTGTTCTGAATCAGATGACACAACTGTTCACACTATATACTTGAATTTGTGGTCAAACATGATCAAACTGTGGTACCAGCACATAATCATCATGATAACTATTAATAATAATATTGATAATAAATATGATTATTAAAATTAATTTACAATTAGTTATTTCTAAGAGGCATTTTCATATTTATGTAGCAATGTTCAGCACAAAACAGGTTTTGTTCAGCTTTTATCCTATGCCCACTACCAAAAAAAAGTGTTTTCTTTTAGCGATTTTTGGGCATGGCTGGATTTTATCGTCGTTTTTGTAGAAATGTTTCTACTGTTGCAATGCCCCTTACTAATTTGTTGCAGGGAGGCGTGGATTTTTGTTGGACTTCTGTTTGTCAGCAGGCATTTGAGAAAATAAAAATGCTGCTTACGGAGGCACCGGTATTATCCGCCCCAAAATTTGACCACCCTTTCCAATTGCAGATGGATGCCAGTAATGTGGGTGCTGGTACGGTCTTGTTTCAGAGATCTGAAGAGGGCATTGATTGCCAAAGGAACAACACATCCACAGTAACACAAAGTTTTATAGAGGAAGGAACAGGTGACATGAATCCTGGCTGATGGGGCTCCTAGCCACACCCACTGGCTGGCCGTAGCAGGAGACCCGTCACAATACTAAACTGTTGTTGTTGTTGTTTTTATGAACCGTTTCACCCCTAAATGCATTTGCATGTATGCTATGAACTAACACATGGCAATGCAATGCAATGACAAAAGCTAATGACACACTGTAATGTAACTAACTGTATAAATGAAAGGGTAAGAAAATGCATTGTGATTATATCTTTACCATTAGCATTACAAATTTGTATATATAAAACCTGTAACCAAAATTGAGAAAAAAATTGCTTTCAAAATTTTGCTGCATCCCAATATATGAAAGGGGGTTATAGGGGATGGTGAGTACCCTCAGGCGTCTCCACAACTTCTGCTGGAACTTCAGTAGCATCTGAGATCACAGGGGCAGGATCTATCAGCTCTTCAGCAGGAGCTGCCTCTGCAACCGCCTCAATAGGGCCAGATTCTCCAACTACCTCAGCAACAGCCTCTACAACTGGGGAAGCTTCCGCCACAACTTCTGCAACTACTTCACTGACAGCTTCTACAACCTCAGCAACTGCTTCCTGGACAGGGGCGTCTTCTGTAGGTGCATCTTCAGAGGCCGGTGCAGCAGGGGCTTCAGGAGCTGCAGCTTCAACTGCAGGGGATGCAGTTTCAGCAATAGTTTCTGGAGGGCAAACTGTGGCCTCAGGTGTAAGCTCAATGGCTTCAGCTGCAGGTGTGGCTTCAACTTCAGGGGCAGTGGCTTCAGCTACAGGAGTGGCTTCAACTACAGGGGCAGCGGCTTCAACTACAGGAATGGCTTCAAATGCGGGGGCAATGGCTTCAGCTCTGGGAGCAGCGGCTTCGGCTGCAGGCGCGGTGGCAGTTACAACTGGTTTAGGTGCAGGGGCAGCAACAGATGCAGCTTCTGTAGAGGCAGCAGTAACCGAAGCTGCAACCTCCTTCTTGGGGAATTCCACATATGATCTGTGCTGGACAAGTTTTTCTATATCGAAGTAAGTTTTTGGTGCTGCTTTTTCTAGGATGGAGGGGGAAGGAGGGCAAAAATAGAAATGTAATAATTTGCTTCATCATGTGCATTATCAGGCTGAATGAAGACCGCTAAACTCATACAGCAAAATAACTTACCCAATTTCTTCAACAATTAGATGAGCATCCACTGAGGTGGTGGAGCTTTGAGCACCTTATAACCCTACTCGTGCACATCAAATTTGAACTATGGCTAATTTAAAAAACCATCTGACAGGAAAAGTAACCTAAACATTTCACATTCAGTAAACCCCATTTTCATAAAACAAATTAAAGTATTGTACTGTTAATACCCTTATTTTCATTGGAAAATACAAGGTAAAATGCAAAAGATTCTTTCATTATAATTGTTCCAAAATTCTAGAGTTATTGAAGCTAAAATGCTATATATTTTCATATCACCATTATTTTAAAGTAGCGCCAAGTAACTGTTCTGAATCAGATGACACAACTGTTCACACTATATACTTGAATTTGTGGTCAAACATGATCAAACTGTGGTACCAGCATCTGCTGATTTTGTAAGTTTGCTCGCTTACAAAGAAATGAAGGGTCTGTAATTTTTATGGTAGGTTTATTTTAATGGATAGACACAGAATATCAACCCAAAAATCCAGAAAAAAACATTATATAAAGATTATTCTAGAATTACTGAAGCTAAAAGGCTACATATTCTCATATTACAATTATTTTAAAGTAGTGCCATATAACTGTCCTGAATCAGATGACAACTGTTCACACTATATATTTGAATTTGTGGTCAAACATGATCAAACTGTGGTACCAGCACATAATCATCATGATAACTATTAATAATAATATTGATAATAAATATGATTATTAAAATTAATTTACAATTAGTTATTTCTAAGAGGCATTTTCATATTTATGTAGCAATGTTCAGCACAAAACAGGTTTTGTTCAGCTTTTATTTTCAACAAGAAGTCACTTGTTGGATTATTGGCTTCACCAGATTCTCTTGAATGAACAGAGGGAGTGGCTTCATGAACGCATTCATGCAGTGCATTCTTTAACTCCAAATGTCAAGGTGACATATATAAGCAGTTAGGACATCCACATATAGCACTAAGCATATATGCCAGTACAACACCACATGGCAAGCCCTTTCTCAAGCCCTCTGCCACCTCTAACCTCAGAGGAACATTGTACAGCAACAATTATGGATAACAGGTCATTAGGTTATCTTTAAGAACTCCATGCGACCAGTTTTACTTGTTTAAAAATGCCCACAGAGAAAAAGAAAAGACCAAGAGTTTAATTTATATTATAATCAACATACCATCTTTGTGTCTTTATTAACAATATAGATGTGGGCCTGTTGGTTTATAGGTAATATAACATTTATTTCTTAAAATTACATTTTTAGTTTAACCACAAAGCTCACGTACTCCACAAACTGACTGAAGTTTCATAGAACTATGCAAATTTCTATTTCAAAACCACTGTCAAACCCTTTTATTGTCTGATGTCAGTTCAAGCTTCTATAAATCGAATAATTTATGTACTAAACAAGTGCTGCTTGTGCTTAAAAGATGCTGGCACCACAAATCGATCGGTTATTGATTTTAGGAGATTCTGGACCATCTTTTCCTTTTGCATATACAGTCATTGCCAAAAAGTCTGCAAACACTATACATTGTGCTGACAGTGTAAACTGTAACAAAATGGAAAATGGATTCTGGAATACATCCTAAACTTGACAGAAACATTTTAAATTTCTCAAACATTAAAAAAAAAAAAAAAACAGATTTTAAACATGCGATCATGTTATATTTTTAAACTCACATATTATTTTGTATTAGAGTTTAACTATATATTTTCCAAATACATTATATTCTGTATCTATATTCCATACAAACTTATTATATTAAATATTAGAGCTTATTACTTGTCTGTCTGAAATACCTGATTATGATTGTCCAATCACTGAGGTCTAAACTTTATAGCTAACCACTCTCTTCTTCTTCTCCCATAACAAATTTATTAGAAATGTTTTTTTGTGCATTTAATTCATCATAATAGCAGGCTTTGCTTTTGGGACCTGATCACCCTGTTAAGAGTTGCATCAGGTGACTGTATATGTGATTTTGTGAGTGAGTGCAAATAAATTTGATTGTGACTTTGTTTATTGTAGCAGTTTGTTTAAAGTGCCACTAATATGCCTTTTCGAATATTACCTTTCATGCAGCGTGTCATGTAGCTGTATGTGAACATAAACTATCTGCAAAGTTGTGAAGCCGACAGTGCACGATAAATAGTTATTGTCTATCAAAAAAAAAAAAAGAGTCGGCTCACAATCGCCTAAACGAGTCGTCAGGAATTCAAATCTTATTCTGTTACGGCTCTACGTCACGATGTAACACATTTGCATAATGTCTGCCCACGTTCTACGTCGCCAACTTGCACGCCCACAAACAGTCAAATTTCCGTGTGGTTAACATCATGTGGAGAAGACGCTGTATCCTACGCTGCGAGAGTAACTTTGTTTTATCACATCTTATAATTACCACAAACCTGTTAACACTTGACACTTACCGCCGAGAAACGTCCTGCTCCAGTCATGCTTGCGAATCAGCCACTTCAACCGTTTCATCATCAGACTCCAGCTCGAATTGGTAAGGTACAATCGATACCATCTTTTCTATGTATTGACAAGTCTCCAGGGCTGTCATTCCATCATGGCAATGGGCCTTTCGTTTCCAAAACACGCTGTACGCGGTAGACCAGTCCAGAGCCAGATCTCTCTACAGCTCTGGACCAATCACAAAGGACTGCGCCATCTGACCAATCAGAGCAGCTGATTTGAAAGGAGGGGTTTAGAGAGACTGATTCGTTGAACTGCTTCGCACGAGTCGTTTACGAATCCTTTAGAAATTAGGTCAAATGAAATCTATTTTTTGAGAAAACTAACGTGTTTTTTGACCTTGAATGTATGAATGTAAACCTGTTTTAGGAGACTCATAAAACAATATTAGCAACCTTAAAAATGGCATACTAGGGGCACTTGAAATTAGCAAAATGTGCAGAAGTAAAATATGACAATCTTAATATTATGTCAACATCAAAGAGTCTGAACACTTTTGGCAATGACTTTGGTATGGATCTTTGCATGGTATTACTCCTACATGACACAGTAAGAGACAGGAACAAAACACACTCCAGCAGGTTCAGAAACAACAGCTGAGGTCAGAGGATATGTCCCCTGAACCACACAAACCTCAGTTTTCCCATGTATGGTGTCAAGATCTGAATACTACGGAGTCCTCCTCCCCCAAATGAATGGCGCATGACATATACAAAATTATTGTGACATAAATTGAAGAAAGATTTACCTTTGTTGGACTTTTTGGACTTCTTGCTGTCCCCAGATCTGGAGCTGAAAGCGACAGCAGGAGCTCTTCTGATAGAGCTCAAGCCCTCCGTCTGGAGACACTAACAACAAGAGACACACACAAACAACATAGACTTCAAAAAACACAGCAGATCCCTATGAACAATCACAACCACCTTTCTGCAGTTCTATCTATCCTGCTGTACATCGTTTGCTGTGGTCTCAAAGAAACGCACAAGCAAAAAGTACACAGTGTTCTCAAGGAAAGACCAACACTTTCAGTTTTTCCAAATAGATACTCAAACAATTTTCTGCATTTTAGGAACACTTTCTAAAAACTAAAATATAGGGGGAAAGCAGATTTAAAAAAAAAATCAAAAGAAAAACGAAACATTAAACAATTATTTGAAACTCCGACATTTTACACTATTTTAGATGCAGGGTTCTGATGCATAAGATCTGATCCACACTGAGTAAACGCGCTTATTGAATAAGAGGAATATTTTCATGCAAATAATGTCGTGCATGTAAATCCAGCACAAAGAAGGCATTCATGCGTCGGGTCTGAGTGGATTACATGCTTCAGTGCTTTAACATAGCATTAGCTTGTGTTCACAAGAGGAATCTGACTACGCAGTTTCACACGTTTAAATAATACGAATATGTAAATGCACTATAATATGCATGCATATTTCATAATGCATGTCGAAAAAAAACAACGGATTACCCTGAGAGATCCGAGCCGTCCTACCCTGAGCAAAGAGGCTGCCATCTTTACTGCAGAAACCCTATGAAGAAAAACAGCTGCATGAATCAGTGTGATATTGTAAACATTTAACATCGTCAATTTAAAATTCGTGCAACTGCTGTTTATTAAAAAAAACATTTAATTGCTACTTCATAATTTGCTCAAACTCTGATCTGTATTTTTATATAGAGCGGATTGCACAGAAAATGCAGTAGCTAACATTGACAGGGATCAGTGTTTGCCATGCACATCCTTTACAAGAAAATGAAAAAAAAAATTCTAATGACCTAGATGGTGTGTTTTGTGCAGGTCTGTGTGCCACTGAATCCTAAAGTCGCCTGACTGTGACAGATCTTTAAATCAAAGCTCCAGTTTGATGAAATGTCCACGAACGACAGATACTAAACTCAAGAAAGATCTTCGCAAAGTAAAGACATGTTGCACTGAAGCACAGCACGCTAAAGAAGCGCCCGTGCACAACAGACACGCCCCCTCACCAACCACACCAACACAATTGTAATCATGTCCTCTACAATCGAGGTTATATATTTTTCACCTAACACTGTAAAACATTAAGTGAAATAGAATACTAATAAATCGCTTTTAATAATACCGAAGTGTTATTAGTAGCGAAAGTGTCTTCCTCGGCACACTCTTTATGGCGGTGTCGTAAAGCCAGATTCCTGCACGGTAGTATTATTGACGTATTACACGCGCGACTCTCAGTGCGCACGTGACAAACTACCATCATGGCAGTAGTGTGTTCAAAGGCAGACTGGTTTGTTTCAAGCTGTTCTACTAGTTTAGTTGCTATAAACCTTAAACTGTCTAGGTGAGTAGCTGTATTTTAGCCTGTCAACTGTCTAGTCGCTTCCAGCTCTTTATTTTGGACTTCCCAAGTGCCCCTGTGCATTCTGCAGAATCCTATTGCACTATGGTCTCTGTACATGACTGTTATGTTCACTTCTGAAATTTGAAATCAGCTTGCTTGATACACCTTGACTTGAATGCCAAACTATCTGTGATAAATACACATTTTGTTACACTGCATGTGCATGGATAAAACAGCAGTTTTTAGCTTTTCTTTTTGGTTGAATTCAAGTAGGATAGTGCAAATGTCATGAAACATTCATTATTTTGACTTTGTGACATTATCATTTTATTTTAGGAATCCATACATAAACCAGTCAGCTGTGCTATTATCAGTACTGCAGAATGAGTGTGTTGTTAACATTTTTTTGTGTTAAAAAAATGACTTCAGCGTTGATATTTTAGCATTATATTTGATAATCGCTCAAATTCAGTCTTGCCTATTTGCTCCTTTTACTTGTTTTTATTTAATTTTTGTAAAAAAAAGTTACTTTCCATTTCACTTTTTCCTGATAGAGAGCCGTTTGTGTTTGACTGTGCCAAAGCTGAGACAAAACCAAAGCAAGCTGATGGTGATAGTAAAAGGTAACTATTTGTGTATGTTTGTTTTCTCTTCATGAGTTCTTAATCTGAGGGTTATGTCACAAGTAGGCCTGTCGCAATAATCAATATATCGACTTATCACGCAATATATGTACGTGACCTCAATCATTTTTGGGGACGCAATATATGGCCCATTATATTTACTTAAAAATTGATGTCACCATGTTTTGTACACTCCACTTGCGCCTGTGTCTTTTGGAGCTTCTCGTACGTAAGGTGGTGTAGTCATGAGGTGCTAGTTCAAATTAAAAAAATGCTTCTACAAACCAAGTTTCATCTGCAGATTTGATCTTGTTTAGGGATCTGTGCCGTTGTGCGCACGGACATCTGACTGCTGAGTAGTGATTGTGGTTCTCAGCAATAGTGTGCACTGTGCACCCTTATTTTATAGAGAAAAGAAGGTCCTTTTCTTTTTTTTCTACTTGTTACTTTGCACTTTTTGTTAGAAAATGTTGATTTGCTATTTATTCAGGTTTTTTAAGGTATCTAATATTTTGATACTTCATTTCCACGATCTAAATATTCTTAAAAATTAAACGTTTGTTGTCATTTGGAAGTGTGTTAGGTCTTCTTGCATTATTATGATGTTACATTATGATTATATATTCAGTGGCATAAAATGGTTTTTAAAATGACAATAATATCGCTTATCGCAATTATTTCTGGGGCAATATATCGCACAACAAAAAGTTGTTATCGTGACAGGTCTAGTCACAAGACGTAGAGGATTGCAAAAAAAAAAGATCTTAAAATGTTTATCTGTGTATTGCAGTGCTGGGGAAGGATCAGAGGAGAAGGACAGTGGCAGTGACAGGATTCTTGCATTTGCTGTGTCCGCGTCTGGGAAGCATGCAGCGCTCACTGATGACCACAAACGTCTTGTTCTCTTCTGTACTGAGCCATCGTGGCACTGCATTAGTACCCGGTAACAGCACACACTCAAATATACTCCCCATCACACATATCATTACAAACCCGTCTTAAGTTTCTCTCTTATGGGGAATGCACTTTTTTTGTGGACTCGCCTATTTCTCTTCAATCAAAACTGAAAAATGTGGCTAGAATACTAGTTTTCAAAAAGTCATTCGGGATGGGTTTGGAACAACATAAGGATGAGTAAATTCTGATGTAGATGTAATTATTATTTTTGGACGAACTGTTCCCTCAGTACTAATTTCTCTGTAAGGTTCGGTGTATAAGTCGGTGATTGTCCTCTTGTAGGTGGGTGGTGCGGCGATGCACGTCTCTTGTATTTACTCAGGCTGAGGATGAAGTCTTTGTGGCTGATAAGTCTGGAGATGTATATTCATTCTCTGTTCTGGAGCCACAAAAAGCAGGAGAGCTGAAGCTGGGACATCTCTCTATGCTATTGGATGTGGTATGATGGACACCAACAGAACAGTGCTTCTCAGTTAGCGCAGTATCCAAACAAACATATTTGAATTTCAGTTTATTTTCACTTAATTATGAAGTTACTTAATTAACTAACATGATTTCTAGCTTTTCTGTCTTTTTGTGTTTACCTCTAGAGATGGTAAAATATTAAATGGCTGAAATATTTCTTTATTAAAGTGCTATTTGTTGATTCGGGGTGTTAATGCAGCACCCAAACAAAAATAGTTCAAATTCTCTTTTGTTTTCACTTAATTGTGAAGTTGGTACCTAATAAAATTATTAGCTTTAAAAAAAGTAATGTTTAATATTTAGTTATTTTTTGTTTTCCTCTACAGACTCTTTCTCCTGATGATAAATATATCATAACTGCCGACCGAGATGAGAAGATCCGAGTGAGTTTCCGGCGGTCACCCTACAACATTCAGGCTTTCTGTCTAGAGCACAGAGAGTAAGTGGGGACTGTGGGAAGCAAGTGATGTTACATCTCATATGTGACTCTGGACTGGAGCACAAAAGCTGTCTTAAGTCGCTGGGGTATATTTGTAGCAATAGCCAAAAATACATTGTATGGGTCAAAATGATTGATGTTTCTTTTATGCCAAAAATCATTAGGATTTTAAGTAAAGATCATGTTCCATGAAGATATTTTGTAAATTTCCTACTGTAAATATATCAAAACGTAATTTTTGATTAGTAATATGCATTGCTAAGAACTTCATTTGAACAACTTTAAAGGCGATTTTCTCAATATTTAGATTTTTTTGCACCCTCAGATTCCAGATTTTCAAATAGTTGTATCTCGACCAAATATTATCCTATCGTAACAAACCACACATCAATTGAAAGCTTATTTATTCAGCTTTCAGATGATGTATGCATCTCAATTTCTAAAAATTGACCCTTATGACTGGTTGTGTGTTCCAGGGTCACATATGTTGTTCCCACTTGTTCGAACATGTTTGTTTTCTCGTGCAGATTTGTCAGTGCATTGCTTGTGCCTGCGGGACATCCTGACTGGCTTCTCTCTGGTTCGGGAGTATGTGCTTTTTCAGTTTACCTTCATTGTTTTACTGTAATATTCTGTTGGGATAGTTTATAAGGGGGATATAAGTGTCTTAATACAGTAGGACTGACATGGTTGTGTTCACAGGATGGCACAATGAAGGTCTGGCATTATGAGAGTGGTCGACGGTTACACAGTGTTGACCTGAGGCAACTCACCCTCGACTCTGAAAACACAGACACAGAAAAGGTGCCGTCCATTTGATTTCAGTCAGCCATTCATGCACACAACGCATACAATGTTTCGTACAATCCCACAAAAATTACATTATTGACCTAGATGTAAGGTTTTCAGCTGGAGGTCTGTGAACCTCTGGGGTCTAAGTCTGGCAGTTTAATTTGTTTTTAATTATTAAAACATATAATTTTGATAATTTACATATCATATATAATATATGGTTATGTAATTTGTTAGTCTTTATTTTTCATATGCAAATTTCACAATATTGTAATGGCAATATTAATTGAAGGCGCTGAATCGGGCTAGAAAGTGAAGGGGGTGAATTCTCCAGGTAATAGAAAAGGTTGAGAGAATACTGCTTTTAGATACGTTTAAATATTTTTATTTAAAATATGTGTACACACAATTAGTGTGTGACAGATGACAGCAATATGTAGGACAAAGCCACGTAAAGAGAAAAAACCTAAAGATATTTGCTGGACACATTGCATATTTTTCAAGGAATGCAAACTTTTATGGTAAAGACTTTTAGACTTAGTGAAAATGCATTTAAAAGAAAAATAATGTAATTTACAAACATCATTGTGTCATTTATATTCATTTATGAGATTATCTAAATCAAAATCGTGATATTTTAACTACAAGAGAATATACATTAACAATGTAAAGCATTGTAATAATATTTGTGACCCTGGACCACAAAATTCTTCAAAATTCTGATAAAAATCATTAAATAAGCTTTCCATTGACGTATGGTTTGTTAGGATAGGACAATATTTGGCCGAGATACAACTATTTAAAAATCTGGAATCTGAGGGTGCAAAAAAAAAAAATCATAATATTGAGAAAATCACCTTTAAAGTTGTCCAAATTAAGTTCTTAGCAATGCATATTACTAATCAAAAATTAAGTTTACAAAATATCTTCATGGAACATGATATTTACTTACTATCCTAATGATTTTTGGCATAAAAGAAAAATGTATAATTTTGACCCATACGATGTATTGTTGGCTTTTGCTACAAATATACCCGTGCTACTTATGACTGGTTTTGTGCTCCAGGGTCACATTTGTTAATTATATTATTGAATGTTTTTATTAATAAAATCTACCATTTTCATTGGTATCACTAAGATCCTAGAATTAATTAATTAAATTTTTTAAAATGAATTATGTATCAAAATAATCTGAATTAAAATGCAAAAAAATCTAGATTTTTTTTCCCACCTCAGGAACCTTTGTTTTATTGAAGAACATACATTTCTTAACTTTTTAAATCACAAAATGAATTGTGGCTGATTAATTGGAAATATCTACCTAGTTTGTGTTAATAAAAAAAATAAAAAAAACAGATTTCTCATAATTACAGTAGAATTACTAGAAGAAATGGAGGGCCTTCGATTATTGGGTTCTGTTAAAGTTCAGCAGCTTTAGAGCTGCTGCTATAAACAGTTTATTTCCATTCAAATCCAGGTGTGTATATATTGTCGTTTACACCAATCTCAGCACATGACACTGACTATATTTCTTTCTGTCTTCAGAGGTTTGCTGTCAGCAGGATCATCAGCTCACCAGATGGAAAACATATAGCTGTCCAGTGTGAGAGGTGTTTAATTTCATCAGATTTTGGTTTATCTTACCTCTAACTGGATTCTGGAGTCTCAGTGACAACAACAGTATTCTTTTGTTAAAATAGAAACACACAAGTCTTAAGAAAGATGTCTTTTGCTCACCAATTATACATCTAAACAGTTAAAATCATATCCGTCTGTGTAGATTGCCCTCAGTTCAGCTCTTCACGGTGGATCCTGGGACAGAGGGGTGTCTGAGCCCTGCTGAGACTCTTGCTCTTCCTCATGCTCCCTGGGACATGACATTTGATTCACAGAAGCAGCTGTGGGTCTTACTGGAGACTGAAGACGTGAATGTGCTCCTGTATCAATACTCGGAGCAGCACTGGAAGGTACATGCATGCTTTCTTTCATGTTTTGAAGTCCGCTCTGCTCTTACTAACTCATATTGCTTGTTCATAGCTGTGTGACTCAGATACTCCTGAACTGAGGAGGGTCACTGAAGCATTACAAGCTCAGTGGAATATCTTTAAAGGTAAGAAATCCAACGAACATTATAATGAAACAGAAAAATGAAATAAACCAATAACTAAAATGAAGAAGTCATATCATGACAAAGCAAATTTATGCTTGATCTTGAGTTGAGCAGTCTCTCAGAACTCAAAACTTCCTCCTCAGTCCAAAAAAATCTATCAAAACAAAGCTGCAAAACACACAATTTACTCAGACACCAATTCAGTTTTGATCAACTCAGCCTGGTCCTGTCAAAATAATATGAAGGAAGACAAGTAACACCAGAAGGACTAATGAAAAGGGTCAATATCTCAGGAGGAAAAATGTATAAAATCACCCCTCAAACCTGTATTAAATAATAGTCAACTCATGTAGCAAATATAATACAGTATGCTTTATAGGGTTAATGTACCATCTTCTTTTTTCCCCCCTCTTACCTTTATTCTGCACACGTCATGCTTTCCTCTTGTCCTCGTCCTGTCAAAATAATATGAAGGAAGACAAGTAACACCAGAAGGACTTATGAAAAGGGTCAATATCTCAGGAGGAAAAATGTATAAAATCACCCCTCAAACCTGTATTAAATAATAGTCAACTCATGTAGCAAATATAATACAGTATGCTTTATAGGGTTAATGTACCGTCTTCTGTTTTCTCCCCTCCAACCTTTATTCTGCACACTTCATGCTTTCCTCTTGTCCTCCGTTCGCAGGTTCTGTGGGACTGGAGAGTCCGTTTAAACACCTGTTTAAAGTGAACTTCGACAACATGGCATCATATTTGCAGAAGAAACAGGAAAGACTAGAACAGGAGAGTAGGAAGAGAGCAGCAAACGGCTCTAAACCCAATAAGAGAAGTAAAACGGAGAGCAGCTCTGTGCCTCAGAACACCAGCTGAGAGAACTTTTTGTGATGTTCATATAATTATACCTCTCTTTTTGTTAATCGACAATGATTATATGACTTTTTATTCATTCAGTAAAGCTTTACTTAGTCTATTTTCTGAACAGTAAGGTGCTGTATTCTGCTTTGGCCACTAGAGGTCAGTGCCGCTCAGCTACAGTCAGGGCTGTCACACACATCCTGGTACAGCTTCATTAGACAACAGGAATGAACATACTATTTTATTATAACAGTGCTCTAAAAATGAGATCTGTGGCTTCAGTTGTTCTTCAAGTTAGACTTTTATTTTTCTGAGTAAAAGTGACTAAAAATCTGTACATCCTGTATAATGTTTATACTTTTACAAAACCAAATAAAAACGACACAAATGGTTCATAGCTGAGCTGTACATGGTTCAATTCCCTGAAAGATGCTTTGGATTTTCATTTACTGCCTCTGATGGGATTCCAGCTGAAACAAATAAGCAAAAGCTAGGGTTGACTGTAAATATAACATGAATAATAACTAAAATGCATGCAGTACAATGTTTCAACATTGACCTTGCTCATTTCTTTTTTCCTCCCATTGTTAAATTTTCACTCTTCTTTTTCTGCACCTATAGGGATAATGAGAAGGAAATAGCTAATACCAGTTAAAAAGTAATAATAATAATAATAAAAATGGTCACTGCTAACCTCATTCATGGCATCATCTATCTGTTTAAGCTCCTCGTATCTGTCCCGGGACTCTCGTAGGGGCTGTACCATTACCTCCTCAATCTGAGGAAACAACTGCAACGCACAGAGAGCAAACAATATCACAACCTGGTATCTTGGCCAGTTTTCACAACTTGGTTTGATCTGAACCAGAGTTCGATTTCACCGACTTTCCCCCCCTGTATGTTTCACATTGTACTTTTAGCCTAACCGATTCACCTTCATCACGGTCTCAAACATGGGGATCAGGACAAACTTGATGAAGCCGATCTGAGCAGTGGGTTTGGTCACTTTCTCTCTGTCCATGAAAGGAGCGACTGGTAAACCTTCCACCTTCTCTCGATCACTCTGTTTGAGAGAGAACACAATTCTGATGACGAAAGAAGTGCACTATAAAGATCAAAATGTTGGGGTTGGTATTATTTTTTTATGTTTTTGAAAGTCTATGCTCACCAAAGCTATGTAAAAAATACAGTATGAACAGTATTATTGTGGGAAAAAATTGTTATTAATAACTTGAATTAACTTTTTATTTAATTTATTTTAAAATGTAAGTTACTCCTGTGATATGTTTATGGAGAGGTTTTGCTGTATGGTCAGGTTTAAGGGTTGGTTTTTAAATAAAATTACAATGTAAAAACATACAGTACAATAAGTGCATTGTATCAAATGATTACTTTAAATGTTAGTACAACAAACAGTTACAAATATTTAAGAAAAAAAAATGAAAATGTACTCGCCCTCAGGCCATACAAGATGTAGACGAGTTTCTTCATCTGAGAGGATTTGGAGGAATGTAGCATTGCATCACTTGCTCACCAGTGGATCCTCTGCAGTGGATGGGTGCCGTCAGAATGAGAGTCCAAACAGCTGATAAAAACATCACAATAATCCACACAACTCCAGAACATCAATGTCTTGTACAGTGAAAAGCTATGTTTGTAAGAAACAAATCCATCATTAAGGCGTTTCAATGTTAAACCGCCACTTTTGACCAAAAAAACGGGTCTAACTCTTCCTCCAGTGAAAAAGTCTGTTATTCTCTTACATTAAAATCCACAGACACATTTGTTTAGAACTGTTTTAGACCGTTTTCACTTGTAAACTGTGTTTGATCTGTGCTTATTTCTCTCCTGATTCAGATGAGACGATTTTTACTAGAAAAAGCAATGTTATGGAAAGAGGACTCGGATTTTACAGTTAAAAAAAATGTGTTTCTTACAAATGCTCAGTTTTCACCTCACAAGACATTCATTGATGGACTGGAGTGGTGTGGATTACTTGTGGATTATTGTGATGTTTTTATCAGCTGTTTGGACTCTTATTCTGACGGCACCCATTCACTGCAGAGGATCCATTGATGAGCAAGTGAAATAATGCTAAGTTTCTTCAAATCTGTTCTGATGAAGAAACAAACTCATCAACATCTTGGATGGCCTGAGGGTGAGGACATTTTCAGCATTTTTAGATGAACTATTCCTTTAAAGACACTTAATAAAAAGTGGGACGTATTTTTACATCTCCATACAACATACTTGTAATCATATCTACCTGCATGAAGTACTCCTCCAGCAAACAGTCCACCCACGGCTCAGCGACCTCCATCGGCCGAACCTCATTAGAGATATCACAGCACTTGATCAGCACCATCTTCAGCTGCCACAGATATAGAGATACAAGTTTAATAAGCTCATCGCAGCACTTTTTCGTAGGTGAATAGTGGCACTGCAAAATGGGTTCAGAAAGCTCACACAAGTAACATGCTCCTCATTAGCGAAGTCAAAGTTATCCACTTTCTGTTTGAAAGAGTCCAGAATCTCTCCATGTCGGGCCATGTCTGTGGCCAGTATCAGGGTGATGGTTCCCTGTCAGAGACAAAATTATTCATTGTTCAAGACAAATGTATTACATACGCGTGCACAAAGCTCGGTTTAAAGGCCTGAGGCACACCTGACGAATCTGTTTGAAGGCTTCAGGATCAAAGTTGGCAAAGATGTTGCAATCAGACTGAGAGAAAATCTGGAAGGCCACGGCGCAGTGATGGTTCTCCAGAGGAGAGATGTCATTGTACCTCACCGCCAGCTCAGTGCGCGCATTAATCTGATACCTGCAAAGGAGGGCCCAAAACATTCGACAGGTGGCCAAATGCAAATACAAACTCTACAGTACTTGGATTTGGTGTCCAAGTGGAATATGTGGAACACAATGACTCGAATTTAAGATATCTATCATATAAATATAGATATCTTAAATGTGCAAGGAAAAAAAATCTCAATTTTCAAAATATTGGGGTTGTGCAATGTTTTGTATATTTTTGAAAGAAGTCTCTTATTCTCACTGAGGCTGAATTTATTTGATTAAAATACAGCAATACTGTGCAATATTGTTACAATTTGTGTGTGTGTTTAAATAATTTGAAATGATTCCAGTAATTTCAAATTTTTGGAATAATTTCAAATGATTTAAACCAACAAACAAACATTTAAAAATATATTAAAATGAAAAACAATTATTTTAAATTGTAATAATATTGAACATCACTGCTGTATTTTAATCAAATAAATGTAGGGAGAAAAACATATGCACTACTGTTTAAATCATTGGGGTTGGTATGATTTTTTTTTTAAGTCCTTTATGTTCGCCTGCATTTATTTGATAAAATGCAGTAAAAATAATACTATTGTGAAGTATTATAAATTTCACTAATACAATCAATTTAAAATAACTGTTCTCTATTTGAATATATTTTCAAATGTAATTTATTTCTGTGATGCAAAGATGAATTTTCAGCATCGTTACTCCAGTCTTCAGTGTCACACAGAAATCATTCTATTATGCTGATTTACTGGTTAAGAAACATTTAGTATTATTCATAATGTTGAAAACGTTGTGCATGGAAATTTTGAAAAAAAAAAAATTGTAGGAAGTTTAACAAAAAAGCATTTATTTGAAACATTATAAATGTCTTTACTGCCAAAACTGATACATTTATCGCATCCTTGCTGAAGATTCTAGTGATTCTAGTAGAAAAAAGGATATGGTAAATATAAATAATGCAAAAGAATTTATTTAAGGCTAATAGTAGAAATATATATGGCTGGTAAGAAATATTTCTGAGCGGTAATATAAAAGTCAGTGTATGTAAGCGCTTCTGAAGGATGGAGGATCTTACTGTCATTCTCATTATTACTAAAGTAGCGCTGTGCATTCATAAATATAAGCACTTCATCAAAACAAAGTCAAACAGATTGTTCAAGTGTGTCTAAGAAGGAGAAATATAAATAAAATCTGTGACAGTCAACGAGCTAGTAAAAATTACCTGAACACAATATGAGGAATTATAATTTTATAATATAGCCTTACCAGCCATCTTTTCAGCGTGATGGGGTTAATATTAAAGTCCTTTACCAGCCCGAGGTCATGGTACATATGCTCCAGACAACTCAGCATCTTAAAGTGCAAAACACTGGTGATAGTATCTTCTGCAGTGTGGTTTTGCATGTCAGTCATTTTCACCAAGTCTCTATAATACATCGTGTGCACTGGTACATCAGCTTCAGTAGAACTTTGACATTCTGCATCTTTCATTTAGCCGATCCTCACCTCGTTAGGCTCCCACTGCCACACATCGAAGATTGGCTGCCTCAAAGCTTCTACTGTCTCCTGTGAGAGGTGGTACTACACAAGCCCCACAAACACAAACGCAGAAGAGAGAAAACAGAGGGAGAGAGAAGAGGAGGAAGACAGAACAGAGGCGTGTTAGACTCTTACCTCGTTGGACTCCCACAGCCAGACGTCGAAGGTGGGTTTTCTGAGGGCATCTATGGTTTGCTGGGAGAGCATGTACTGCAGGTGACAGAGCTCTCAGTTAACCCCCGATGACCAACGCCTGGCTGTGGCCATTGCGTACATCACATTCACATCTATGTTCAACATGCCATTTTTAACCCCGAATTAGAATTCTTTCTTTAAACATGAAATTCATTATAATTTACTCATACTGTATCATTCCTTACAAATCTGTATGCTCTTTTTACACAGCTCTTTTATAGTTTATAGTGAACACAACAATAAAGCTTCAAATACCATACATGCAGCCCATAATATCCCAAGTCACATATTGAGAGGTCAATAATCACAATAATAGTCTCAATGAAAATGATATGTTTTAATCTTGATGTAAATGCAGATAAGATTTGTTGAGATTTCCAGTGACTACTTTGACATTTCTTTTATAGGCTTTTGTTGCTGTTGTTCTGTAAATTCATCAAAAATTTATATTATAAAAATATAATACAAAAATATTAAGCAGCACAACTGTTTTCAACATTGATAATAATAATAAATGCTGAGCATCAAATCAGCATATTAGAATGATTTCTGAAGGATCATGTGACACTGAAGACTGGAGTAATGATGCTGAAAATTCAGCTTTGATCACAAGAATAAATTACACTTTAAAAAAAATATTTTAAATTGTATTAATATTTTAACAGTACACTCTAAAAAAATGCTGGGTTGTTTCAACCCAATGTTGGGTCAAATATGGACTAACCCAACTGTTGGGTTAAATTTTGGTTACATTTTTAAATTAGCTTTTTAACCCAACACTTGGGTTAGTCCATATTTGATCCAACATTGGGATGAAACAACCCAGCATTTTTTAGTGTATTACTGTTCATATTGAAGTATAATCAAATAAATGCAGACTTGGTGGGAATAAGATATTTCTTTAAAAAAAATCCCAAATTTTTGAATGGTAGTGTATATTTTCTTTTAATATTTTAGAAATTATTTTGTAGATGTTAGCATTTTTATCTTTATTTTTGGGTGAACTATCCCTTTAAACTTTCCTTCATTTATCCTTAAACATAAACCAAGTAGATCTCTAAAGGATAAACCTTGAACTCTCATTACAAACCTTTCTGTAATTAAATGGTGCTGTATATGCTGTCCTTTATCGAATTATTAAAGCAGAATAAGTATACAAAATAATGAAGGAACCCATTACAAGCACATCTGCCATTTTACCTTTGGGTATGAAGGCACATCTCTGCGAGGAGTTAACTTCTTGTTGTCATCCAGGAAACTACTGCAAAGGTAAAGAGCATTGAGAGCACATTTGCTTTAGAACAGAACATGCTGTGTTTTTCATTTTTTTAAGTACCATGTCAACATCTCTCAAAGAGAGTATCTTGAGAAAATACAGCTATCTTTGATTCTGATCCTTCACTAATAAGAGAGGATGTGCGAGCCATGTCAGCTCATTAAGACTTGAAAGGGAATATGTCTGTGAGTATTTTTAACAAGAGCTGACTAAGACAACACCTGGACTTCTTCTTAATTCTCATCTCATTAAAGTTAGCAGTACAGACAGTGCTATCAATAGCCTGCTATATATGCTCATTTGTGAAAATGAACTACACTTTAGCATATTTTTAAAAAGAGTACTTTTTTTAGGACACTTGATTGTATTTGAACTCTTTCCCCAACATTGATTGAATTTTCCATTATTTATGTCACAATGCTATCTATGACTGTTATATGGTGGGGGGCGCTATTACACATCTTCTGAAATAGTACAGAATCTCAGTATTCAAAAACAAGCAAAGAAGAAGCAGAACCAAGCAATTGAAGCATTGCTTAGGCACACATGTTACATCTAAAGCGATCAGCCAACTTTCAACGGCATATAAATCGAATGTTACCTAATAAAATGTCAAACCCACAAAGATGACTGTGCAAGCTTTGATGGAACTGATCTACTCAATCTATATTTTGATCATGTTCGGAATCTGATTTAGTCATAGTCCTTTTTTTTTTTTAAGTAATATTCTCAGCTTTATGTTTACAATGTTTTTTTTTTATTATAAAACTTACCCACATTCAACTGCTAGAATAAAATGCTTTGTTTTATTTAAAAGCAAAGGCTCTGTTCTTTCTTTTGATATATATATATACACATAGTAAGTTCAGATATTCATACAACAAAATATTCTGGGGGCCATGAATGTTTGTGAAATGATTAAAAATGCTGGCTCTGGCTGGCAACTTTTTCAAAAAACACTGGTGGGGAAAGAGTTAATTACAACTGAATGAAAATGTATTATAATTGTTTAGTATATAATTTATATTAAATGCAATTAGTGCTTTTTTGGCACACTTAAGTAGGACTAAAGTACATCTTGTATGTAATAATTACTTTTATTGTCTTTTAAATATGGTTAAAATGTAGCTAACTGCCAGATGTACTGCCAAGCATTTATGGTAAACTAATGCCATTTCTGTGGAAATGTGTATATCATGTATATAAAAATATGTGTAATTACACATTTGTAATGATGAAGTTGTACATTTAAAAATATTGACGTTAAATGTGATTTTGAATAAGACACGTCAGTTACAATTATAATCAAGTACTTTACATGTGCTTTAGTCAACACATCAAAGTGTATTTCTTCAAATGACAACAAAAGTTTAAAATACACTTTTAAGTAGAACTTTTAATTTGACATTATTACAAAGTGCGCCATTTACAAGTTAAATTACTTAGTGTGCTAAAGTCATAAATTTGTACTTTTTAAGCACACTGGAGTGACATTTTATTTCAAAAATATTATAATATCAAACACAAGTATATTATACATCACCAAGAAACTTCTTTTTCACACCATCCTTCCAACCAAAATCACTTCCTGAAGGAAATCTTAAACAACATTTTTTTTTCTCATGAAATATCCTGTCTTACTTGGAAATGCATCAGATTACAGATGTAAAATCATTTGCAAAGCGCTACTGATATTTCCCGATAATTAAACTTATTCAGTTCAAAAATAGCGTTCCGACATCTCCAGAAAGCGCAGTGAGGTCACTGACCTGTTGTTCCTGGAGGCCATCTCCTCCCGCAGCTTCTTGATGTCACTGCGACATTTCTCGATCTCCACCACCTTCATGCCCTCCACTGAAGAGACAGAGAGGAAAATGTATGGAAACGCGATACATAATGCATACAAGTATGACACATAAAAGACGGTTTTACATATTGAGCCAAACACAGAGAAAATATGGAAATGAGCTGGTGAACATGGGTTGCAGCCGCAGGGGTTTTCCTATACAGACTGCTGAGCCATAAAAAGTACATTTGACACCTGTCACTGTCTGGCATGTTTCAAGCAGCTTTGTCATCTCTTGGACAGCTATTTTTATTTACATCTCAAACCTTGGTTGTGAGGATGGATGAAGATATGTCACACAACCTGACACGTTGGTATCTGTCTAATTTAGTCAAGTCAAGTCAAGTCTGCTTTATTGTCAATTCTTCCACATGTACAGCACATACACACAGAGAATTGAAATTGCGTTACTCTCAGACCCTTGGGTGCATACAGATAACATAAATACAGATTAAATACAAAATACAACTTTACAAAATACAAATATACAAATATACAAATAAGGTAAAATGTAAAAATATATATATAAAGCACAAGGCATATGGAGCTGCTTTAATTTAGCTGCTTCTAGATGAATTTTGAGCCAAAGTACTGTACAGTCTGAATAGATGCATGGCCTCTGGACTCACGTTGTATAATTTAATTAGTGTAATCACATACATCATATAATCTCTGCACTTCCTGCTACTATTCTGTTTATAGACCGTGCACAATAATAAATCACCTCAAATTATATGAGGCCAGTGAACTGTTCACACTGATGAAGGGGTCAGGGTCCATCGCCTTGGTGACTGATTACATCACGGCTGTATTTGGATTTCTATGGACACACAGACGTGCTGCAACGGAATGAATCCTGGTCTCTGGTGATGTTACGTGGAGCATCATTACTGAAACAACTAGTGTGCAAGGACTGTCACGACTGTCAAAGATGATGCATTTATCAGCCACTAAACTAAACCTAACTTAATTTGTTTTGAATCATTGTTCAGCAAAAGTCACAGATTCCACAAATGGCAGTGGATTAGAGGTTAAAAAACATTCCTGTCGCTCAAACAGTAGATACTAAAATGTGTACCTTACCTTGAATGCAATATAAGCCACTCTGGACAAATAGGCTACATAATGCATAAAATGTAAATTTTTTCAATGCTGAAATGACTTTCTCCTATCCTGTGACAGCTAATTTGTAGAAATGTAAGCACTTGAATTATTAAAACACAGAACTGTTTGACAGATCATTCCATTCAGCTCAACACAGCAACACTGGCTTAAAGGGGTCATATGATGCGATTTCAGTTTTTCCTTTCTCTTTGGTGTGTTACAAGCTCTTGGTGCATAAAGAAGATATGTAAAGTTGCAAAGACTGAAGTCTCAAATCCAAAGAGATATTCTTTATAAAAGTTAAGAGTCAACCACACCTACAGTGGGGCAAATAAGTATTTGATACACTGCTGATTTTTCAAGTTTTCCCACTTACAAAGAATGGAGAGATCTGTAATTTTCATCGTAGGTACACCTCAAATGTGAGAGACAGAATAAATAAAAAAAAATCCAGAAAATCACATTGTATGATTTTTAAAGTTCCACTACAATAAAGTATAGATGTTCTGCCAGTGTCTGCTGTCCTAGAATAGTAATAGTAACAAGTGTCCTATGCGTGTTCTCTTGGTGCCATCAGCCAATCAATTTTGAAATGATGTCACTGCGACACACATGACATTTAGGTTCAGGTGACTGGCTCAACAAAGCCTGCCAAAGATGGCAAACTTTTTAAAAGTAGGGGTCATCTGGAGGTCCAACACCAGCAAAGCAACAAAAGATGAATGGGGATGCTAACGGACAGATTTCTCAAATTGTTATATAGGTTTTGTTCACTGCATACTCTCTCTCATCTCCAAATGACTTCACAGAGGTCAGAGGTCACATCAACTTAACCAGGCTATTGCTGCCTTCATGTCCTCCAATGCAGCTCCCACTTACATGTTTGAAAGTTGCAATTATGATTTGATGTGTGTTGGTTGGAATTGTATGGGCACATTGTGCAATTATATATTTCCTTTTGTGTACTTCTTTTTACAAAACATGATCAATTATGTATTTCTATGAATAAATAAATTTTTTCTTCACCAACAACTCAAAATTTGCAATTAAAAAGTCTGCTCTGATATGGCACATTTTGCCAAATGTAGTCATTGCATATGGAAAATATGCATACTATGCGTGCGTGGTAGCCTATACTACATGGGTTCTCAACTCTGGCCCTCCAGATCCACTTTTCTGCAGAGTTTAGCTCCAATCCTTAACAAACACACCTGAACAAGCTACTCAGGGTCTTCAGGATTGCTAGAAAGTTACAGGCTGGCGAGTTTAATCACGGTTGGAGCTAAACTGTGCAGGAAAGTGGATCTAGAGGGCCAGAGTTGAGGTCTTCTGCTATACTATATAATGCAGGAATAGTCATCATGATCCTATGTTATTCCGCAAACACTCACAGTATTTGTGCGTAATTGATAGGATATTGAAAAGCAAAGCAGAAAAATATATGATGTCGACAATAAATCTACTGAGAAATAGTTTTGGAATGCAGATGAACCAGAGAATCTGTCCAAAAAAAAGGACCTTGTATATCTGAGTTTGCTTTGAAATCAATAAATAGTTATAATCACTTCCCTGCTCATGATAACACAGATAGATTTAAAAGACTGCAGTCCACCCCCGCTGAAGGAGTGTTCGCACAATGAGAACTGGAGTTGCTCTTGTGAACACACGCAGCTTTCCGCGCACTCCATTTATGGAGATTTGAGAACATATGAGTGATCACTCCAGAGCTCTTTCAGACTTCATAATAAAACAAACCCTATTTCCCATTTCAACCGGAATGTAAACACTATCAGTGAAAGCTCAGCGCTGTAGATGTGATTCATACATACATAAACATTCAGTGAAATTACATAACACGCAGAACATCTGACACTTACCTGCAAGTTGTCCGCCAGTTATTGGCACCACTTTGTACGGCGACCTTCAAAAACACCAGGACAGACAAACGAAGTTACAAAGCAGTTGGCACCACACTAAAACATGTCCCCTCTCCCTATAGGACAGTCCAGTTAGTCCTCATGAGAGCTGCAGCTTTCTGTAGCATTACTGTCCAAGATGTCTACTCCTCTGGCAGTCGATTGTGATGGTGATGGTGAATAGGCTCACTTAGACTTTGGTTCTCAAGGAGTAACTTCCCCTTTATCTATATCTGGCCGCCATTCATTGTTTGTCTAGCATGTAGGGTAGATCTCCATATAACCAACAGATAAGGCACAGTAGGCTAGTTTACTGGGCTTCTCACCTCTGAATGTTTAAACAACATCTTTATGTTTCCCTGAGTGTGTCTGCAAATTGGTGTTAAATTGGATCATTGGTTTTATATTCTAAACTTTCCAACATTTAATGTTTAATAAAAAAAGTTACAGTTGAGAGAGATGAAACACTCTAAAGCAGGGATCCTCAAATCTGGCCCACGAGATCCACTTTCCTGCAGAGTTTAGCTCTAACCCTAATCAAACACACCTGAGTATACTAATCAGCGTCTTCAGGATCATTAGAAAATCACAGATAGCTGAGTTTGATCAGGGTTGGAGTTAAACTCTGCAGCGCATTGGCCCTCCAGGGTAAGATTTGAGGAACCCTGCTCTAAAGAGTTGGGCCATTTTAATGAACCTGCAGAAAAAAAGGTCCATATTATAATGACTCGTTTGCTTTATTTCTTATCTATAAAAACAGCATATGGACCATTTGCTATAAAATTGGTTTGAAGATATTCTGGCTAAATGAAATGTTTTGACATTAGTGTGTGAAACTGATTCAGAGGTCTACTGCATGTGTATAAGACACTTTTACAGCATTGGATTTATGTTTATAAATGGGATGGATGGCTAAGTTACCTCTCTGAGTTGTTTGGCATTGTGGGGTCGATGGAGACCATTGCTCCTGTTGAGTCCAGAAGGGAGATGGTTGTGTTCCTGTCAGCAGCAGACACATTCTCTAAATTTGGGAGCACTTCAAAATTGAAAACACTTCAACTACACACACACACACACATACATTGTACTGTACCTGGAGAGCCCCGTGGCAGTGCAGAATAACTCCTTTATATCACATGGGCTGCAGAAACGGCTGAAAACCACCTAACAGAAACAACAATTCTGATCAGTGTCTCTGAAACATACAGAGCTTCTTCAGTTAGGGCCACTTTTGACTTAAAATCCTGATAAATAAAACATATTTATGCTATGTTAAAGATATGGTCATGACCCTGATAGGCGGTGTGGATTTTTAATATTGTGTGCAACGGTAATGACTTTTTGGAAAAAATATTTCAGAGTCTTGGACTTGCCAATACAACAGGTTGCATGTCAGTTCATGTCAGATCACATGGAACTTATTATGTGGTGTACTAGTGGATGTGATTATCTGTGTTGTGTATATACATGAAAATTGTCCGGTATTTAAACGGAAATGATTTCATTATTTTAGTAACTGAACATTGGCTAATGAATGACGACGTCAATATAATTAGTGATAATTAGTGATTTGAAAAGTGGTTGGAGGGATTGAATTGCTTTGCACACTGAGGAAGGCTTTGAGCCGAAAAGTTTGTGTCATTTCCCATCAGTGATGAATGTAAAATAAAACGTAAAAAGAGGACTTTTCTCGTGAGTGCGGATCAAGTTCACATGGAACTTGAAATAAATTAGTTTATGAATTAAACTGATCAAATACTGAAGAGTTTGGTAATGACACCTAATAAAGCTACTCTCAGACCATGATGATTATGTTATTAATTTTAAATAGCTTCACTGTTGTCTTGGCAGAAAAGACTTCCTTTTCATTTTCATTCCATCAAAACCAAATATAAAGAATTTGGCAAATCCTCAATGGTTTTGTGGCATGATGATAATGACAGCAGTATTAGGGACAGCAGTTCTTTGTTATGAAATTATTACATTGTACGCATAAATGCACAAATAATTCATATGTTTTTTTTCTAATTTCCAAGATTTGAACACCTTTTAAAGGGGAAGTTCAAAATTCTGGGTGGGTGGCAAGATCAAAATAGCAGAAATCTGTCAACATTTGTTAAAAGGTAATTACAGAGATAATAATAATAATACAATTTGATGCTCTTTAATCCCTTCTTTAATACTAAAATGATAGCTTTAAAAATACTGTTAGTCTTTAAAATCATCTTACAGAGCAGTATCAATTTGGCAAAAAAAAGTCAGCAAAATTTTGAATTTAGATTTTTTTTAATTTTGAAACGTAAGTAAATTTCTTTCAGATTTCAAACATTTTATGGGATAAAGAACATCTTTAAGCGTTAATAAATTGCACTGTGCCATCTCAAATTATAGGCTTAAGTGTAACAATAATATATAAAGATAATTTGTACTCTCTTATTAAGACAAAAGTACAATTTCACGGATTTTAATACTTTTTTAAGCGGAAGTTAAAAATTCTGGGTAGGCGGCAAGCTAAAAAAAAAGAGAAAAAGTATAGATACAGAGATAATAATAATACAGTTGAAGCCTTTTTAATCCCTCCTTTAAAACTATAATGACTGCTTGAAAATGAACGCAGCTATGATTATCTTCCTGATTTCTATGTATGACGCTGACCATCACAGATGATAGTTTATTGATTATTTGAGACTCTGTACACGGCCAAGGCCAAGTGCTGTAGTCCATCATTTGTATGTAATGTCAGTTCTGACCCTGAGCACTCTAACCCACTTACAACACATGTATATCTATCATCAGCAGGCACAAGACAGCAAAAACAGGTGACAACACAGAAAAGACAATGGGGCGGGGGGTGCAGCTGACAGACGGAGCGAAGGAAGAGGAAAAGAGAGAGAGAACGATAATAAGACTTCGAGCTGCAAAGACAGATGAGAGTGAGCAAAAGAGTGGGAGAAAGAGGGAGAACGGGGGAATTGTTCCATAATACAATTGCAGGTTCTGAGTTCAAAGATATGAGAAATACTTATTAGTGTCCAAAAAAGGGCTTCTAATTGAGCACTTTGTCAAAGATGAAACATAAAACTCACAAATAACAGCCTTAGAGAATAGAGACGATAAAATTATATACCACCAACCACTGCGTAAAAATCAGTTATTTAGCAGTGGATCATCAAGTACAGTTCACCGAGAAGTTTCTAGTATTTTCTAGAGACTATGAGAGATTTTAGGGCTGTAATTGAATATCAACTAAAAAGCCTGAAGACATACAGTTGCACTAGAACTAAAAAATGATATTTCACCACTTCTCCTGTCGTATGTGTGTGTGTGTGTGCGCGCAGAAAGTGTGGGTGTATGCATACACACAGATGTGCTCATTAAAATGTCCATTTGTTTTTCATTGTGTTCTAAGCTTTTATATGCTGATTATTTTGTTGTTGTCCCATTGCCAAGGCTGAACAATAGCAGGCTGATTGATGCACATTTGTAACTAACAAAACCAAACCATAAGCATACTCTAATAATGTATGCAAAACACACTAATCTGCTGCAAGTAATTATTTGGTCCCAGTTTATATTGTTGTCGTTTTGTTACTGTACTTCATTTTTCAACTTGATAATTATAATGTGTGTATTTATGTTACACTGCATGTAATCACACACGTTCAGAAATCATTTGCAACATAATTTGCACCACATTATAAAAAGTGCTATAATAACTAATAACAAACAGCATGTAAGCTTACTTTTATTTTACAGTGACACTTTGTAGAAGCTAAACTGAATATCATTCTGTAAAATATTTTTACATTTGAATGCACACTGAATTTTTTTTTTATTTTAACAGGGAAAAAAACAATGCTACAGTAAAATGCTGTTAACTGTAAGTTACCTTACCGTATATACTGAAAAACAGTAATTATAATGTAAAATCTGTGAAATGCATGGCTTTTGGGGGTAAAAACTACGAATTGCCATATAATTTAGTCAAAAACTGTAAAATGGCATTCCCAGAAATCCTTGTGTGACAGATCATATGATCATACTTTATTTGAAACAGTTTGTAATGTGCATTGTTACATTTTCTGTTATTTAATGAATGTTTGTTGCATTCTTTTAACATTTAAATGCATTATTTTGTTGCATCATTGTTTACTGTATAAAATTGTAACGGAGTATAATATTCAAAACTGACAAACGTAACCAAATAAAATATAAAGTGACATATACACATACATACACACAAAACATACATATATATATATTTATGGAATTGTACATAATTTTAATAAGAGTATATATTTGCAATATGTATAATATTTCATTATATATCGCCCTTATTATATAAGCAGTTTTAAAGCAATGTCACCAAAAGAGTCATATAAACATGATCCTACAGACACTGCAACAGCTGAAACTTCCTGAACAGATTATTCGTGTATTTCCCAGTCCACGGTCATGCATGCAGAGAGTTACCTGCTGAATCCGTCCATCCACGTCCAGGTATATCACGCGATACGCCGAAGACGCGCTGCCCATCTCGCTCCCCGCTGCCCTGGACTACCGGCTTCCGTTCGGTGCCGCCGTGACAGACCGAATGTACACTTCTGACCGTTTCGTTGAACTGGAACGGGTTTACTAACGCAGAGACCGTGTTGCTCATCGCCACCCCTTCACTCCCACGAGTGCGCACGCGCTTGCCTTATGATCTCCATAGTAACCGAGCCCTACAAGGACGCGCGAGGATGCAGTGTGTGAATCCGAAAGGGTCACGCAGCCGCAGGCTACCACATGTGTTTAAAGGGGTCATATGATGCGATTTCAATTTTTCCTTTCTCTTTGGAGTGTTGCAAGCTCTTGGTGCATAAAGAAGATCTGTAAAGTTG